GGTTGATTTGTTGCACCAAATTGAGATCTAAGCAATCAAAACACACAAGCATTGTGCAGAGGATCCCACAATGCTTTGTTGCTTTTTCATCTTCATAACAAACAGTGAGAAGTTGTGATGGTTTTTGTAACCAACAACAACAGTTATTTCCTTACAATGGTTTTCTGCTTTTGTTTCTTGTGTTTTGGGTACCACATTTAATGATCTTTGTGTTGTAATGGGCACAACTTGCTAACTTGTACTGTATGCAAAAGATTCACAGAAGGCATGAATACACAAAGTGGGAATCATCTTCTTCTTTTTTGTTTTGTCAGGCATCTTTGTGCTTGCATGTGAATATACTTCAAAATACCCTTTTATTTTATTTTATTTTATTTCAAATCTCTTTTAATGTTTCTGTGACACTAAAGACAAGTGACAGAGTGGATGGTCAATCTACATGTTGCACATTTATTTGATTGATGCATGACCTAGTTTTTAAAAGCTGGTTAAAAAAAAGCAGGGAACCCAAAGAGTGATCCGCAACTGCTGTTGTGTTTTTGTTTTGTTGCTTTTTAAATCACTGTTATTAAAGTTGAGCTTTTTGCATGAGGCAGAAGAAAACTGCAGTCTGTGATGTTGTCCTCTTTAATTTGGCCCCCAGTTTCTGCACAGAAATTGGTCTGGTTCTCAACCCCAACAATTGTTTGATGTTGAGTTGTTTGAAGGCAATTAAGTGGGTGCCCTCATAACTGTCAGGCACTCAGTTTCTCTAACTCCCATTAAGCCCAGGACTTTAAAAATTAATAACTAAATATATCAATCAATTGACATAAATAAATATGTGCAATTACTACATCATAAGAGCTTGTTTCCAAGAGTGGGAGGGGTCACTTATCATGTGACTATGCATATACAAGCTTTTGAGTTATGTATGTGAATTATATGTGAATTTTACAACAGTTACCAGTAAATTGTGAGATATATATATATATATATATATATATATATCCATAGCCCAAGTGGATTATTGAGTTTATTATTTAAATACATGTTGATTTTTTCATGACGTGGAGAAAGAGTTCAACATATTCTGCAAGGTCAAGTGGTTACCAAAATAAGGATTGGCATATACACACCATTTTAAAAACTATTTACTGTTAATTTTTATTATATATATATATATATATATATATTCTTTCCCATCATCTTGAAGCATAATTCTATGTTCAAATCAATAGTCACTACCACCAAAAACGTAGTGTTGAAATAAGCCTACTAACCTCAATTTTTATGTTAACTTCTTGTTTTAGAAAGGAAACACGAGATACAAGTGCAAACAAACTAAACTTGAGCATTCAAACCCATTTAAGAATTTAAATGTTTTTCATAACAAAAACCTATCTTATCAATGGATTCCATTGTAAGATTTTCAATACATGAAAATTTGAAATTATTATCCTATTTGTACAAATACACTCCCCACCCTCTTTTCCCCCAATTCATAAATTGGTTCCCTATTTTATAAATTTTTACAAGGTTGCAAATTTGAAATGCATCCCAAATAAATAAACAAATAAACTTATTAAGATTAATTTATAATAATGATCCTTAATACAAAAAAATAAAAATAAATGATGTGGACCATATTTTTTTAGTAAAAGCAATTCAATGTGGAGGATGCCTAACACATGTGAGGGACCTCAAATCACATCCAAAAGGGTAGAGAAATCATGCATGCACACAAGTTGTTGGATTAACAATAGTAAAATATAAGTTGGGTGGAGTTGAAGTCAAGTCCAAGATTATGCTCACAAATGAATAAAACAAACTTGAAGTCTAACATTCAAAAAAATTATATCTCCACTTTTGAAATGAGCCCAAAGAATGTGTTTTTTGTTTGGTTCACGGCAAGGATTCTGTCTGTATACATTCCATGTAGATCTTTTTTGTTTTACACTATTAATTTAATTGGCTTAGAGATCTGATGTTGATTTTATTGAGCACTTGATTCCACGCATATTTTTAAGGATGTAATATATAAGGCCAGAAAATAGCTTGTTCATGGGTGAACAATCAACTTTAAATTTACATAAATATTCACACATACATACATACTTATATATTCTAAATTTGAAGGACCAAAGTTTGAAGAAAGCACAACAAAACAAATGCTAGTATGCAAAAACAAGCGCTAAGGTGTACAAAAAAGGCTTCGATAAAAGTCAAAATACCTACAACTTTAAATGGTTTTAAAAGAAAATAAATAATAAAAATCAAAATATACATGCATATTCAAGCTCTTCACATTTTAGTTGTTTATTAATCTCTTCAAATCAATTATAATATCCAATTCAATCATGATAAACTAACAAATTTAGAACACGCATATGATGTATTTATTTTAAGACCTCAAACGGTTTTAGAATAGGATATATAACACAAGATGTAATAGAATTGTCTCTTTTATAAAAATTACATGAGTTTGAATGAGGTCACAAGTTGAAGGTGAGTTTATCCTCATCCTTTAGTAAAATATCGATTTATGTATATGAATAAAAATATGGATTTTCAAAGATGAAGTTGCAATTGATTGATAATGTGAAAATACTTTACTTTTTTTTTACGCACATTAGAATGCAAACACTACAGATTAAAAATCAGAAGGAATATATTTTATTATATTCGCTACACAAACAAATGCATAAAAAAATACAAGAAACAAGAATAAATTCTAGTATAAAATTCTACTTTAACAATGTTTGAGAAATTTTATTGAAAATTCATGAAGGTTTAGAAATGTTGTTTTAATATTAAAAATTGTAAATTAAGCCATGGTTCACACCGAACATATTTCAATACGTGAATTCACCGACAAAAAAGAATAAATAAAAAGAAATAAACTTATATCAAGTAAAATATAATTGTACCAATATAATATTTGAACTAATCAAAAATTATTTGCTTAAATGTGAATTATGCATTTTTTAATAGTACTAAAAGCATGTCTTTACATTTCATAACAATCAAAACATTTAGATTTAGATTTATTTTATTAGAACAATACTAATACACATTAGTATTTTTTATTTTGTTTGTGCCATCTGTATAATTGAATTAGTATTTTGATTTTGTATACAAAAATGTATCTAAATCATTATAAAAATGTACATCTAAAACTACCTAAAATGTCTAAAAGTCACTTTAAGCATTTATAAATACTTGATAATACTTAATTGAATGCCATCTCGTGAACAGAAATATAGAAAGTTTGGAAGTGTACAAGAATTGTATTATAAAAAAGTAGTTGCACCTTATAATGGTCTTATTATTTTATTTACAAAATTCAAACTACAAAATAATTTATTTAGACAATTCAAAATCATACCAACATTGTAATAGATGATATATTAATTATGAAACTAAATTAGAGAAAAATGTATTAGTAAAAATGTATTAGTACTTAGTTCATCAAGAATGTTGTTAAATTCATCAATTAAACAAGTGAACCACAAGGTCGATGCCCCCTTTTATAACAAAGACTTTCTCTTGCCATGCACTTTTACATACACACATTAAAACTCTTATTTACACTGAAACAACACTTCAAATAAAATTACAATAAAAAATTCCTTAAATGAAATCAATTAGTTTTTTAAAGTACATGAAATCATTATATAAAATGTACCATGGAATTTTTTTCAAATTAAAAGACAATGGTACAAAATATTTTATTGTAAATCTATCATATTTTATTTTTTTTAGTATAAATAAGAATTATAATGTGTGTATGTGAGGTTGTATGGTAGGGGAGGTGTCCATGTAGTAAAGAGGGGGTGGCCACACACAATAAAAGGGGGTGTTATGCCCTAAATAATATCATTATGCATAAAACATTTATCTTTGTTATGATAATGATATGTCTTGTGACACACATAATAGAGCATCTATGCCTCAAAGTTTCAGAAACAACAGTAATATCTTACATTGTTTTACACATGATTATTATTGCATCATTCAAAAAAAAAATAAAAATGTTACAAGACAAAAACATAGAAACAAAATTTTATGATTAACTGGATTCTATTTTCCATTTCTCTTTTTTTATTAAAAATTCAATATAACAAACAGTAACAAATCTTTGAAGTGGATAATGAACCATGAACATGCAAGTCAATTTCCGGAACGTTCAAAAACCCAAAGACCATTTGACCTCATCACATGTTCAATTCTTATTGTTTTGTTTTGTATTATTATTATTATTGTTGTTGTTGTTATTGTTTTGGTACTGGGTCATAAAAAGCAGGTAACATTATTGAGTCCAAGTGGACAAGAGAATTGAATGCCACACATGAACATTGCCACCTTCAACACATTATAAATTAATAATTTTTTATTAATCTATAAAAGCAATGATAATAACTACACATCAACCCTACTCTCATTTGTGCCATGTGACATAGTCCAATGTCACAAACCCAATGACCAACACAAAAATGCTTCAACACGTGCAAAAATTACCTTGTTTATGAAAAGAAAAAAAATTAAACATTTAAAAAAAAAATCAAAACTTTCTTGCCACTCCCAAAAAAAAAAAAAAAAAAAAAAAAAACCATATTAAATACAAACCAAAAGGATTACTAATGAAAAAGAAAAAAAAAAAAAGAAAAAAAAAGAGGAAACATTAAATAACGGAAAAAGGTTTAGGCAAGGAAATTCCACACCATCCCTCCACGTAGGACTCACCCGTACCGACAAAAAGCTAAAGTCAGAGCTCAAAAAACGTAAAAGCAAAAGACCCGCCGGGGGGGGGGAGACTCTTCACGGGCAGCTTTACGGGTAGGGGAGAGTTCCTGCTCTAGGTATTGGTGACGTCATCAACGGGCAGCAGCTGCAGTCCCGCAGCTCGAAGCCAAACAGAAGAGCCGCCGCGTGTGGGAAGGGAGGGAACGCGTGTCAGAATCTCGCCGCAGCATTTTCCAAATGGGTTTCTCGCTCGCTTGCTCGCTCGCATTGTGTCTCGGTGGGTCGCGTCGGGTCGGGTCGGGTCGGGTGGGGTCAAGATTTGCTGCTGTTTGCCATGGCCAAGGTGGTCTTCTTCAAGCGCCGCCAGCAACTCAGCAGCTCACACTCGTTTATGGAGCTGCTTGCTCATTTTGCGCTTCTCATGGTGGTGCAGGTAGTGGTCCATCCACGTATTCTTCATCTCGCTAAGACGACGATTTTCCAGCGGGTTCTCTTCACGGTGCCAGTCAGTCACCGAATGTATGACCATTGCCGTCACGTGGGGTTCCATGAGGATTAACTTAGCACAACTTCCGACGCTTTGGTTTGGGATTTCTAGAGGTGTGAAGAGCAGAGAGAATTGTAGCTCATGTGAAGATTGAAGCTCTGGTTGTTGGCAGCGTTACTGTTGTTGCTGGGAAGCTCAGGGTGCGGGTAACCGACGCCGATGACGACTACGACGACGAGATTTGCCCGTTTCTCGCATCGGTCGTGTCTTTGAGTTGGGATTTCGCTAGGGTTACTGTATTGCGTGCGCATGCACGGTGGTCGAAGAGTGAGTTTTGGGAGATTGTCAGGTGTATTCCAGGATTGAGATTCAGGTCCGCGATGTAGATTACGCCGCTGATTCGTGGCAGATCACCAGCAGTTGTATAGTGGTTATCGTCACACTCCCCCAACTGCAGCAAATGATTTTCCGTTGAATTTCGAGACTCTCCGGCCGTTGTGACTTCTCCTTCATCCACATCTGGTCCCCGAAACAGCGTTCCTCTTTCCATGTGAGCTTCGGCTCCAATGTTTTTAAGACTCAGTGGACTAACCTCACGTTCACTGTAGCTCTGACATTTGCGGAAAGTTTGGTGTGGACCAATCTTTGACTCGATTTCTGAACCCAGGAAGTTGCGGGGTGTCCGTGAGCACCCTACGGCGCACGTAGTCGCAACTTCGTGTATAAGCACTCGTCATGGGTGATGGTCGGAGCGGGCGAGGTGTGCCACTGTGCCGGTAACCATATCGAATTATGTATTCGGTGGCGTATTACTCACTTTCACAGCTGGAACGCGCCTTGAGTTGAGCGCTTGTGGAAGTTATGGAGCCCTCCTGCACCATGATGGACATGGCAATGGCAGGGCTCGTAGTCCACCAGACTGCTCCCCACTCGTCGTGAGTAATTGGTTGTTGTCCCATTTCAGTGACATGTCGAAGGTTCTCATGGTCCATTTCCGAACTGACTGACAAGTCTAGGGTGTACAATCACCCCCCTCCCAACAGTGTACGGCGAGGGGCCGTGAGTAGCTGTCACACATTCCAGCAGAGCTCCTGGTATTGGAGCTGAGGCGCAGCAGCGTCTTCGATTCTTGTAGCAACACTTTATTTGGAGTTGCATCGGGGCGGATTATCCACTCAGAAACGGTTTTTTTGGACGAGGAATCATCTTGTGAATGTTAGATCCCGCTTTCTGGGCGCGCGATCATGTACGACCTGGACTGTTCGTGGCCATGTCGGTGAAAGTGTGCGCGCCAGCTGAGAACCCTCCCCGTTTTCGTCATCCGTGCAGGTTCGAGCTGAAGCTTCAGACCAACATCTGTGGAACTTTGTGGGCAACGTTTGAGAGTGTAGTTTTTTTAGGTTTCTGAGATTCTTGCCGATTGCCGATGCTTTGTACCAACGCAGCGGCTCGGTTGAGTTCAAGGCAATGCACGGAAATTGCGGCTGTAGGCTAGGTTTTGGAAGGTGGCCGACAGAATTGACCGCGCCAGCCGTCTCGTCTGGTTGGTACGTTTCCAAACAAGTTTTTAGATAACTTCATCGCTGTCTCGGGCCATATTTGTCGGTGGTTGGCCCGTAGATTAGAAGCGCAAGCAGAACCCGACGTGCAGGGACCAATTTGTAATTCTTTTCCTTTTGCTCTGGCTGTTGAACAGGTTTTGTTTCGGCTCTCCATGGCTGTGCAAGTGGACCTTGCGTGTAAAAGCAATGTCGATAGGATATGTGTCTAGACCACTTGTGCATCTCACGATCGGAATTCTCCCTATTGTATAGTCTAGAGTACGTCAAGTGAGATGACTGATGGTTTCCGTCAATTCCTAATCGCCTTGCCATGCACCTATCGACTTTTTTCCCACAGATTAGATGAGCGGGATGACGAGGCGATTTTAAGAGTCTGTCCGTTCATGCTCTTCTCATTAGGAGTCCCTGTCTTCGTGATTGCAGACAACTTTTAGGATCAACTCTTGCATTCCAGAGAACTCAGAGCTGCTTAGAGGCTGCGATTGAAGTGTTTGATCGTTTCTGAAATCGCATTTAAGGGTTTTGTTAGCTGTTGACATGCAAGCTTCTAAGCTGCAGCTGAGTTTTATAAAATTGGATGTTGTTTACTGCGGTTCATTGATGAGACACTTGTTCTTAGAGGCCGACAATTAGTAGGAATTTTTGGTCTACATATCCTATCAATTCCTACCTGTTCCACGCGTTCACTCGTTAGAGAGCTCGGCACTGACACTACATGTATTTCCAGGTGTCTTACGATGTCGAGTGCGCATACGTTTTGATTGAAGAAGGCAGTTGGCAAGGCGGAGTTTCAGTACATCGCAATGCTGGAATGCAAAAGGCACCCCTCGGAATCACAACCCAGTGGTAGTGTATGCGCCCGCTGCTTGGAAGATAGGCTAATATGGCTATGGAGGGGGAAGAGCTTTCATCTCGAAGATTTGGATCAAGTTCTGGCGCCATCAGCGGCGGTCTCAGATGAAGCACTTCCTTCCTGTTCGGATGCTCGCCCCTGTGTCGAAAGTGAAGATATCTCAATAGCTAAATTTAGTGCAGAGGAACAGTTACGAGTTAGTGAGGCATCGCCGCCGGCGCCGCTGCCGCCGCCGCCGCCGACGACGACGACTGGGGATTTGCAACAGGTTTCGATTGATGTTCGAAGTGGGGATCAGAGGGATGACGGTGTAGATGAAGGCATATGTCACGGCGGCGATGCAGGTGCCGGGAAGTCGCATAATTCGAAAGACATTATAGTCAAATGGGTGGAGTTTCAAGCAAGACGACGGAAGAATTTGGGGCAAGGACTTGAAGTCGAGCTGGCCAGTCAACGAGACTCTCCAAAGGAATACCCGAAGGCCAAGAGACGGAGCTTTGATTCACTTGACTCTGTAGAGCCATCGTATCCTTCGAGCGATTCCATCATGCACACGGAAGACATTGTGGCTCGTTTGTCAGCTGAGGCTAATCCTCGATTTAATGTCCTCTTAGATGCGCAGAAAATGCCACGGTCGCTGTCATGTCCCACCGACAGAAGGTCTCGCGCCGAAGGCACAGCTCTGAGAGTAATTAAAGGGCAGGCCGACGACTCATACTTCGAAAACATGTCGCTATCGTTGCCCCTGGGCTCTTGGTCCAGCGCCGAAGACACAGCTCTAAGAGTAATCAAAGAGCAGGCTGACGACATGTGTTTTGAAGACGAAATGTTGAGATTCGGATTCTATGACATTGATCACGACCGCGACTGCGGTGGTGAGAGCTTGAATGACAACATGGCGGGGCAAGGATGCTTTAATCCCAAATTGCAAAGCACGAAGAGCCCCAAATGGGTGAAAGTGCTGGCCAGCCCCATGACGTCGAGAAACCGGGTGTTCCCCAGCAGCCGGTCGAAGGACGATGTCAGGAAAAGTCGAGGCTCAGGGAAGCGAGCTGCGCGATTTTCTTCGTCTGATTGGGGTCGTAAAGAAGAAAACGATGAAGTATCACAGCAAGAGCAGCGCACTGTGTTTTCGTGGCTGCAGGTAATTGTCAATGCTCTCATCCCCAGCATATGAGTGAGTATAAACGAGCTTCCTCTCGATCCACGCATGTGATCACTTCCACGTTGCAAAATCCAGACTCATTCAATTTCCTCCGATTGGATGCACACGAAGTGGAGCATTGCACAATTCCCATAATTATAACCCATTTTTGGACTTCGTTGTGAGCAGGATGCAGACACAAGGTCGCAGCTGAGGAGACGCGAGCAAAGGGGCCAGCGGGTGACGTCGTCGTCATCTTCATCATCTCGAACAAACTCTGCGAGCATGGATTCATGGCTGAGAAACCTCACCACCGTGGGCCACTTGCACGAGATTGCGGAGGAGCTTGAGATCGTGGACGAGTCCAGCGAAGAAGAAGAGGAAGACGAGCTCTCTTCCGATCGATTAGAAAACATGTCGTCCTTCGCTAAATTCCTTGTCGTCGCTGCACAGCGACAACCAAAAGCAGGTCTAACGAGGCTTGAAAGTGCGATCTCCAGTGGACCCAATTAACGTAATTCACATTCTCACCTCGTTTTCGTCTCCACTGACGAAAAGCCCCCAAGTTTGTAGCATATCGGTTTAGGGTTCTGTAGCAACAGTTTCTGTGGAAGAACGGACTGAAACCCTAATCCTAATATTTTCTGACTGACACCCTGTCGGCCGAACAACTGGAATACTACAGTGTAGGAATGTACGAAGTCCTGGATAATAGAGTTGAATTCTTGTGTGATTGTGTGTGTTTGTGTGTGTGTGTATACGTATACAAATTCCTTTGAGTACTTCCTTTGATTGATTCGTATTTTAGTTCTGGAGAGTAAATTTAGGGTTTGGTAAACGGAACAATAAGGTGGAGAAAGCAAAAGCAAAGAATTAATTCTAGTGTGTAGAGAGATAGGGAATGGCTTTATTTTGAAGAATTGCTAAGATTTCTATTTGGTTAGATTGGCCTCTACTTATTTTAACGCCTTATTGTTTGGCTTTCGTAGTGCTATCCCTCTTCATCATGTAGTGCATTCTTGTTTATTTGTTTTAATTAGATCCACTTATGACCTATTATCATTTGTTTGTGTATCCTCCAACGTTTATTTCCTCCTTTATTTTTCCAATCTAATCTATCTCTTCACTTCCTTTTAGTTCTAAGATGGTATTTCTTGTTTTATTTTTTTACTTTTGTTTTAACTTATTACATCTTCATGTCATACTTTAATGGGTAATAGGTCCTTTATAATGATTAATAAGTGTATTCGATACTAATGCAGAAGACACAAACCTCAAGGGTAGAATGTTTTCAAGAGAGACAACTGTAAAAAATACATACTCATCATGCAAAGATATCTTTTGGAAAGAAAAATTGTAAAAAATTATATTTCCTATATATATATATATATATATATATATATAACCACTGTAAAAGAACAGAAGATAAAAGCAGAAAAACTGTTGACTTTGAAAAAAAAATAAAATAAGAATACAATACAACCAAAGATCCTAACACATGCAGATATCTATTGTAGTGACATTTTTAAACAAGTGCAAAAGACTTCCAATGTGTGAAAGTTAAGTTTATTATAATATATATATATATATATATATATATATACTGATTATTTTGCAATGGTACAATGGTACAGTTTACATATTAAATCAAGGGTGGTATTCAAATTGTAGTACCAGTTACTATCAAATAAAAATATATTTGTTTAAAAATAAAATAGAAAGTAAAATAAATTATCTGATATTCATATTCTCTAATTTGGTAGTCTAATTTAATAAATGAATCAAAAGCTAAAACAATGCCTCAAATGAGATACAAATTGTAGACAAAATATCAAACAAATGTGTTGTCAAGTTTGTGATTTTTTTGATTATATTACTACATGTCTTCAGAAAAAAATTCAAACACTAAACTTTGCAGAGTATAATTAATATTTTATTCTTTACATTTTTAATGCATTTGAATAGAACAATGTTACAATTAGCTAATGAAAAAATTGGTGTTTACAGGGAGGATTTTACAAAATTATGTGAATATTATGTCTCAATTGTAATAAAAACATAACAATAACATTAGAACTGTTGTTTGATTAAAAAAAATAATGATTCTACTGTGAAACACGTTGCACATTTCACATCTTTCTACACGAAATCACCTATGCAGAAGTGTAGATGTATTCACATTACACACATTCACTAAATTACCTTGGCTTGGAATGACGCCGGATCAATTGTCATGAATTAAAATCTACGATCATTCTGTATCCTTGCTCAGTTTCGAAAGAATTAGAACTCAACTGTTCCTGTCCAGATTTCTGATGTTGATATGTCCATAGGCCATGCTCGAACCCAGACTTATTCAACGATCTCTGAAGCTCTGTGAAGGGAGGATTGCTTACCAGAATGTTCTGCAGCCGAATAACGTTCATGTTTGATTTTTAAGGAATGAAGTGGGACTCCTTGGAGGAGAGTTGTCATTGACATCCACGGATTGCGTGTCACTGTTGCTGAACCAACCGCTTTGTTCTCTAATCTCCTCACATTGATCAAACATGCTAATTCAAAATGCAACTACACTGTCAAGAGAGCATCGGTTGCAGCACTACTCCATTGCACATCGACGGGTAACTAAAATCATAGCAGTTTGGAGGTCGACCATTTGTAACGTTTCGCAGTGCTGTCGTGCAGTCTCCAATGAAGCGTGCAAAACCCTTGATATTCGGGTTTCATACTCCGAGTAAGAAAATCTCGTGGCGGAATCACTCGGGTATTTGTTGTAAGAAAATGCTGGGAGTTCATCCTCGTCATCACTGTTGCTGGTAAAACAGATTTACCTTCAACGTGCAGAACCACTATCATCATCCTATCACTCTTCCCATTCCCACGACTTCGAAGTCCTTTCCTCCTGCTCGATTGCTTGGTTAGAAAAATACACGGATGAGGACAATGCTTGTACTCAGATCCACCATGCTGAATTGAGCAACTTCTTAAGAGCTACAAGGTTCAAGTCCAATAGTTTGTATATAGACTTTGGCTTTATGCTCACTTGCTCAATAATTCCGTTAAGTGCTATCAAGGCTCCCGCCCCTTGACGAATTCCACCTTTTCAATTTTCCAGTTACAGTCTCGAAAACATATCTATATTCAGTTTGCCACAATCGCCCCTGACCTAATTCCGTAAATCCAACAGATACAGCATCCTCAAGTATTCAAGTAGTTCTAACAGCATCGATCAATCAAGAAGTAAAGGTGCACTTATCACAGTTCCCACGTGTTCACTAATAGCCCTCACAAAACCACTACTCAAATCGACAAGGAGAGGAAGTAAGACTCCTTACAAAATCACTTGAACGACTCGATCACTTCTTGATCGTAATCTAGCATTTCTCAATCTCAAACATAAATTTCACTACACAAGAAAAAATAGACCCGAAATTTCTCCGAACATCCAAACGGTTTACTTCTCAATCCCTGTCAATCTAAGACCTCAAGGAAGTTGTGATATGAATGGCCTCTCGTCTCCCCTCTCGCAACAACCATTTCAAAAGCAGGCCATAGCTGAAACACAGTCCAGAAGCTTCAGCGGCTGCCTGTATCAAGAAAACCCGGTTATCAATTATTGATGCCCGACCGTGCATGTGCCAAGACCCAGGTATACGGGGAGCAGTCTGATTTATATCCGTGTGAGAGTCCCTGTTTTGGTAATTTTCATCCTGCTCGCTTAGGAACCTCAGGAAAGGCATTGACAGTCGTCTTTTGAAGCTTTGGAGCGGAGCTTGCTTGGAGCTCGGTCAACAACCTCCGGATGCTTACGTAGATGGTGGAGGCGAGCTTGTGAACAGCATCTTTATATGTGAGTCGATGTCTGATTTATTTTTTCATTCTATGTTAGGGTTAAGAAGCGAGAGAGGAGGTTGCGTGTTGCTGTCATGAGAAAGACAGTGCGTTTCGTTTCGTTTAGTAGCTTGGAGAAGTGGTTCGTTCTTTATTTTATTTTATTTTTGTGTTCGTTGCGTCGCATGGAGCTTTAGTTTTGCGAATGATCGAATTAAGCTCTGAAGGAGTTGTTAGTAAGACCACGGGCTGTGGCTGGCTGGGACTATCAGGTGCGTCAGCCAAGTTTTTGGTTGTTTCACTTGTCTTTCAGGAGTTACGTTCGCGCCTTGGCTGTCTTCATTGGTGCAGCCTGGCTTTGATCTTTGCTATCGTATTTTAACGATGGTTTGAAGTTTTATTCTGCGTTTCTCTTCGGAGATGTGTATTTTTAGGGCCTTTGATCTTGGTTCTTGATCTTCCCAGCGATAGTTCTACTGGACACTTGGTGCTCTAGGAGAGCTATCTAAGGGGCTTCAGAGAGTATAATTGATCATAGGGAATTGCATTGTTGCGTATTATGGTGGTATGTTAATTGTGAATCTATTCTAAGCAGCTCTTGTTGATGCAGCTACAACAGGTTTTGTTGTCTTACCCGTTTACGAAAGTTGCAAGAACTTGATATAGACAGCTTAATTTGTAGTGCCAGGAATGATAGTCTTTTAGATGGGCTCAGCAAGCTTTCTTACTCTTGTGTTTTATAACTAATCGCTTATTGATTGAAGCACCGGCGGTCATTATTTTAGTTTTCAAAAAATGAATAAATAAAATATATACTTACCTACTTATTTACTTTTTAAATTTTTTTTCAAAATTATTTGAAGCGTACGGAAGAGCCACGTGCGAAATTATAGAATGTTCCCTTCGCTTGTGTATATTATACTGGTATCCTGTTTTGGTTTGTATATTAGCTTGGTCGTGAAATTTCATTTGTCTACCTTAGGTTGATGAAGTCCAATTTATTGTAGTGTCAGAATTTTTTGAAGGAACCCTGAGTTTCGCTTTTGGGTCTGACTGATCTTCATTTCACGTCAAACTTAACCAAATTAAGTCACAAGGGCCACCGTTCTTGTTTTAGTGTTGCAGCTCCAAGGTGAGAGATGACAATGAGTACTTATTTTTATTTTTATTTTTTTATTTTTTATTTTATCAAAGAGTACTCTGTTAGGTGTGCGTTCTGTTGATTTTCTCCATCTGAGTTTTGTGCGGATATTCGTATTTTTGCGTACTTCTGGGTAGTCTGTATTTTTACAAGTAGGGCAATTCAACCGCATGCTGACGCATTGAGGATCTATTTTTATGCATTTGTTTCAATGCATTCTTCAATATAAATCTGGATATCTTTTGTGTGCAAGGCTGGGCTCTCTGTCTTTTCCATCGTTTCTCTCTTTTGAAGGACAAGAGAATGCTCGTTTTCAAATACTGCGGAATTTAGTATTTTATTTATGTTTTTTTGAATGTATTCATTTGGGTTGGTTTCAGATGTATAACACGAGCATCGAAGGGAGTATTATGACCACGAGCAAAATCACTCAGAGTAGTTCACCACGAGGCGTTTTTCTCTTCACGGTGTAGGGGAGGGCCTGGAGCAAACACTGTGTTGCACACTTTCTCCTGTAATTATATCATGGAAGAGCCTATTGTGGGCTCTACGGAAGAGCATGCAGCGAGTGTACGTACAGAGGAGCCTCCAGCGTGTGGAGCTATGGAAGAACTCTCAGTGGGTGTTGCTACGGAAGAGCCACGTGCGAAAAAGCTGCTGGTGTTGGATGTGAATGGGCTGCTTGTCGCTACTTACCACAAGCATCAGAAGATGCCTGGAGAAAAGCACCATGCCAAGTTGGGCAATTTTTATGTTTACGAGCGCCCTGGTTGTGAGGAGTTTTTAAACTTCTGCTTTAAGTACTTTATTGTTGGAGTTTGGAGTTCTGCGAGAGAACACAATGTGAACTCTCTGGTCAACCATATATTTAAGGACCTTAAAGATCGTCTTTCTTTTTCGTGGCATCAGAGGCATTGCACCACTACTGCAGTTATGCATCCTGACAACAATAAGAAGCCAATTTTTCTGAAGGAGCTTTCTAAGCTTTGGGCTGAAGTGGAGCCTGGAACATTTGATCAATCTAACACGCTCCTGATTGACGATTCACCTTACAAGGCTTTGAAAAATCCTCCCCATACAGCCATTTTCCCTCGATGTTATAATGGGGACGAGGTAGATGATAGTTTTCTCTCGGAACTGCGTGCTTACCTCGAGGGACTGCATAGTGCAACGAATGTGCAGGAATATGTGAGTAAAAATCCTATAGGTGAGCCCAGGATCTCGTCAGCACATCCTTTGTGGAGTTATTTCTCCTCCATTCTTAATGAGGATTCACAGGTAGCAGCTGAAGCTGGTGGAGTGACCCCTGTTGTGGCTATTACTGCGGAAGTTGAGGAGTATGCCAAGCAGTTAAATCCGGAAGAAATTGAATTGGAAGATATGGACCAGCCATCAGATAGGAGAGATTCATCCCCTGTTGGAGTTGGTGCACATTTTAATAGAAGCAGAGAGCGTGAAGATATTGACCAGCGGTCAGAGAGGAGAGACTTATCCCCTTCTGGAGTTGGTGTGCGTCCTAATAGGAACAGAGAGACAGTAGATGTGGATCAGCCACATGCGAAGAGGAATTTATCCCCAGTTGGAGTCAATGCTCATTTTAGCAGAAGCAGAGAGCCTGAAGATATGGACCAGCCACCAGAGAGGAGAAATTTATCCCACGTTAGAGTTGGTGCGCACTTCAATAGAATTAGAGAGCCTGATAATGGGCCTGCAGAAGATAGTCGTAGGCGGCGAAATGCTGGAAATGGACATGAATACGAGGATGGTAGATTCCGCTCACGAAGAAATTATGAGCAGTCACGCGAACGGTCAAGGGAAAGATCTCCCCGAATGCATATGAACCATTTGGACGACAGCAGAAAGCTTGCTTCGAACCGTCGTAGGGACGATCCTGGTTTTGCCCTTCACTCAAGCAGTAGCTATCATGGAGAGTTCAATACAAGAAGATATAGAGATGTGAAATTTGGAAGGAGTTGGCATAATTATTCACGGGTTCAAGAGGCCCCTCCTAGCAGAGAAACTTTTGGAAGACGGAATAGTGAGCATGACATCGGGAGAGCGTTATCATCACCGGGCAGAAGACAGTTCAATACTTCTTTTAATTTCAGAGACGCCCCTCCACCCTCTGTTTTCTCCGCGCGTGACTCAGGTCGTGGACTGTTGCCGCCACCTGGAAAGTCATGGGAGAATGCAGAACGGCCAACAGTGTACTATGATGGCTTTGGTGAAAGGAGGTCCATTGCGAACGTGTCTTTGACCGCATCAGCAGAGTTGGACAGAAGTTGGGAAAGACCTCCAATTCCTGGGCGTGGGAGAGATTACGATCGGAGATGGGAAGAGCCTCTGAGTTCTGGCCATGACAGAGGGTATGAACCTACATGGGCTAGACCTTCAAGTTCTGGACGAGGGAGCGAATATGACAGGCGGTGGGAAGAGCCCGCGATCATTGGGCGAGGAGTCCAATATGACAGGAGGCGGGAAGAGCCTATGAGTTCTGTCCGAGAGAGTGATTTTGACAGGAGGTGGAATGAACCTACTAGTGCTGGGCGAGATAGGGGGTTCGACGCAGGATGGGATAGGAGCGCAAGTTCCAGTCAAGGAAAGGGGAATGTTTCGAGATGGAGAGAACCCGTGGTAGATGTGGGGGGTGGAAGGGAATACAACACAAGATGGGAAGCACCTGCTCATTCTGAATACAGAAAGTACAACGGCAATGAGAGGCGATGGGATCAACCTGGCCATGCAAGGGAGCTTGATTCTAAATGGAGCAGAGCACAAACCAATCAATATGTGACTCCTGTCCCCAGGGTTGACTACAACAGCCAAGGCTATAGAACGTCGGGCAATTTCAAGGGAAGATACACTTCTACTGATCGCAGCACCGAAGGTTATAGAACGTCGAGCGATTTCAAGGGGAGACATACTTCTGTTGATCGCAACATCCATGCTAGTTTTCGTGATGACCACCGTTCTCATCACTGGGGTGATTCAAACCATTATCTGCGGTGAACTTCTTCATTAGTCATTGAATTGAAACCAGATATTTTACGCTATTTCTGGTTTGTGTTCTTGTAAGAACTTTAATGTTGTCCTTAAACGTTAAAGTCGACACAATGTTATCGATATTCTTAATTGTGTGAGCCAGAGCGTTGATGTGGTTGGAGGCCACGAGAGTAATCAGAGTTCATCATTGAGGTAGTTGAAATGCATACACTACTGCCAATCCGTTACATATGAGTGGCATAATGCCTTTTGGTTAGAATGTGGACCTTCTGGGAGATAGGTCTCATTTGCTGTACACATGTATCTCTTTATGAATGGTATCTGAAAACCTTCCACATTGTGCAAGACACAACCTGGACTAAGCTGGATAAGAAAAGTGTGTCTCACTCGGAGCTTCTTTACGTATTAATTTGATCATAGTTGAAACCAAATATGATCAACTGGCTTAGCGATGTCTGCACTGCTTTCAAACGTGTGGGGTGTGGTGTGGAGATCTACCCGGGGGATCGGTGCTGGTGAACCAACAACCCCACAGGTTTCAAACCTGACAAGTACAGAATCTAGAATCGACCATCTTGTTGAGGTGAAACCTGAATAGAGAAAAGTGCGAATGATGACCACTGAATTTTCGAAGAGAGCTCCAAAAGGGAGTTTCGGTGTACCTCAAATAACCACAAGCTCATGCACAACGAACTACAAGTCTACACTGAGTCCAAGTCCAGATCAAAACTCTAGTATCAACATGAATAGTAAATTTGTTTCAGTTTGGCGACCTCTGTAGTACAGAAAGAGTACAAATAAATAAGAATTATTTTGATAGGGGAACGCCATCTTCTTCTTGACTAACAGCATTACTGTCTTCTTCAAGTTTCGAAGGGTTTTGCAAGGCATTTCGTAGTCCGAACACGATGAAGAGGTTTGTCAGTGTCAACAAGGACTCAGCACCTCCGTGCAGCCAATCCACGTTGGACAGAGACGTTCCATAGTGCACCTTGGCTGTTGCACAAGGAATTTCGACATTAGATTGCGCATTCTCGGTTGAAGGTTACCTACTTAAAAAACGAAGATAGCATCAGGGCAAGCTGCAAAGACACTCATTTGAAATGCTTCACACCTATGTTGTGACGACTACGAATCCGAAGGAATCATCTGCTGTGTTAACTCACCATATATGCCCGCGGGAACTGCTCCATTACGAACATGAGATCAAATCGACACGAAACACACAAGTCCACCCCAGATTAGTAACCATGAATGGGAATTAGGGGAATCATAGATTAACAGGCATCACTCACGCTATGTGCGATAATAACTAATAGAATGTACGTGGTTCCTCCTAGCGCCATGCCGTTAGACGTGCATTCTTACAGATATCAGATTAAGGCAATTAAAGCTTTCGCATCTAAAAGTTTCAGTGCCTAAACACTGCATCATTGTCATTCATAGGCTTAAGTTTTGAGCTCAGCGAAATTTCGATTAATTGCAAATGTTCCAGTGTCAGGAAATGCTAAGACAAAGTTGAACAAGGATAGAATTCCTCGATTTTTCAATTACATCTAATTGCGCCTCCTCCCTGCACAAAAAATTCAACCCCCTCGACAAAACCTCTACCATCCAACAAAGTAATCATGAATCGAAAGACAAGTAATTCGCACGAAATAAAAATCGCACGAAATTGCAAAATTAGAGGCATATCCAGAGAATCAAATCGTACTTGTAGCTCCGACGAAGGCCAGCAGGAAGTAGAAGCCAAAAAGCGTAAGCTTAGGCGCAGTCTTCGACTTGGTGATATGATACAAGAAGCCTAAGTAAGGAAACAATGACGCAGCGAAAAGCGACGACGCAATGCTCTGCTGGTCGGTGTTCGGCGCCCAAGGATCCACGGGTAAGAAGCTCACCACCACCCCGTGCCTTATCCCCTTGTGCCCCTTGCCAACTCTCGAACCAGGGCACCTTCCTGCACTGCGACACCATGCCGCACTCGGCAGGGCGGGACGCAACGCGGTAGGCCTTAAGCTGCTCCAGGAAGCGCGCAACAGGGGCGGCGAGGCTGCGACGAGCACGCAGCAGAGCGCCATCGCCACGACCAGGCTTACAATGAAACACCCTCTCAACACCAACAACAACACGCTCGATAGGGTTCCTTACGAAATCGCACACTTGGACGAACGTTCGATCATTTCGAGCGAACGAAGTCCTCCGTTCGATTTTCTTCGACGGACGAAGTCCTTCGTTCGTTTGCCCAAAACGTGACAACTAGAACTCTCCTCTCCTTACACCAACAAAGATTTATTTTGGATCCTTTCATTTGAATGTGTGAATGCAAAAAATGTGAGCTTTAAAACATGATTTTTTTGGAATGCGATTGCCAAATCCATTGAATGGTTAACACAAATAGAAATCATTGAAAATTTATTAAAATTTAAGTTGATTGAATATTAATTCTTATTAGTGGAAAAGCTCAATAATATTTGTTGGAATAGTTTAATTATTTATTTTAGAATTAGACGATTTATTATAAATATTAATTAGAAAAAATTTATTGAAATGCATATATGGCAAGAATCTATAAGTTTAGACAATATATTATTAGTGTATGAGATATTTCAATATTATGAAAAATTCTTAATAATGTCTTATTTTTTGCTAATAATTGTTTTTACTATTTAATTCTCTTAATATTGTTTTAAAAAAATTCTATTAAAAAATATAACTACTAAAATAATCTAAACACCAAATTGTTGATAATTATGTAATAATTATCTAATTTTTTTAAAGTTTTAGAGTATATAAAATCAAGATACATGTATTATTAAATGAAAAGTAGGATTTCCATTATTAGAAAAAATTGGATATAGTTCAAGAAGTCTTTGAGCTAAAAGTAAATATTAAAAAAAGATGCTTTTAATGGTTATAATTAAAAAAATAAAATTGATTCCAATACCAAATACAAGTTTGGACTATATATATATATATATATATATATATAGTTTTTAAAAGACTATTGGAATTTTTGTTACATGTATATTTAAGACACTAAGTATCAAATTGTTTTATTATATATAATAATAGTTTTTATGCATGTATACTTATTATAATCTTAGATAAATCTTATATTAAGATTTATAAGAATAATATATATATTTTTTTAATTTTAAAGGTTATTCAATTATTATTTAATTGCATAATAATTCTTTTTATCTTATATAAAGTTGTAAGAATTGTAAGAAGAAAATAATTTCACTATCTATATTTTAATAAAATACATATATTTCATACCTATGATAATAGAATGCTAAGTAAAATATAATTTTTTTCCTTACACTTCTTTTTACAGTACATAAAAATAAGTGAGATATTGCAACATAATAAAAATTAAAAAGACACACTATTAATTTAAATAAATTCTTATTTTATTTATTTTTAATATTATCCCATCTCTTTTGTTGTATATTTAATTGTTTGATCATTATAAAAATGATCTAATATTTTTTAATATAAAATAAAGATTACGTTGTAGAACTTACATATATTAAGGTATAGATTTTATTGCTAAAGCCATGAACCACAAACATTTTTTAAAAATAAAAATACACTCTTATATTATATTACAAAAAGAAGAAGTAGATAATCAAAATATATATATAGAATTGAAACTAGAATGGCTATTATCAAATGCAATATTATTAGAATATCCTGAATAAAGATAAAACACAAAAAATTCCTTAATATGAGTGAGGAAGGCTTCACTCTTGCTTCTATATATACTATCTACTAAAAACTACATGGTGATGTTTTATAAGTTGTATGACACATGTCCAACTTACAAGACATATTTTAATTTTTGGAAGAAGTTTTCAACATATATGCCATATGGCCAATTCATAATATAAGTGGCTAAATGTGCAATATGTGGAGAACTTATGGCATATGGCCAATTCATAATATAAAAGGCTAAATGTGCAATATGTAGAGAACTTATTGGCTAAGATGTGAGCCTATTAATCACTTATAAATATGTATAAGGCCTATAAAGTTTCTAGAATGCTTTCTAATAAAATATCAATAATCTAACCTACTTCTACTTATTTCTATTTAGTTCTACTTATCTAAATAAATATACTAGTGAATATGTCTATTTGTTACACTTAAAAAAGACAACTTAGCTTTTTCGTATGAATAAGATGTAATTGAGATATTTTAGATTTAATATGAAGTTCTATATATTATTTTATAAAAGTTTAGAATCTATTTAGGGTTGAAGATTTTAACATTAGAATTATGTATAGAGATTTATTAAGTTAACCAATAAGTTTTCAAACATCAAAATTTGAATTGTGAAGACTTAGAATTTATTTAAAAAGTCTTAGATTTAAGAATGGAATTATAAAGATTTAGTCACAAAATTAAGATTTAGAATCTGAAACCTTTAAATTTAAGAATTGTTCTCTAAAATGTGTAATAGAAGTTTTTGATTCTTAATCTTTGCAATAATTTTAAAAACCATAAATTTTTTTTGAATAATTTTATAAGGTTGAGAATTTAGATCTTATTATTTTATTTAAGATTTAGGAGGGTATATACCAAGTGTCTTAAAATTAAAATTAGTTCTTTTGTGTTAAGTTTGATTTGAATTTGAAGAAATTAAATAAAGTTATTTAAATAAAATTAATGATTAATAAGATGTTCAATACTTACAAAGGATTACTAAGTACATGTAGATTACAATAAAAGATTGTAAGTTTTCAATATTGCTTATAAAATTTAGATAATTGAAGTGATTGTTTTTCAATTTGATGTCTTATAATAATAAATCATTGTTGCATCAGCATGATGCTTCAAAACAATGTGATAAGATCTTAAAGGATTATTGGTATTATTTTTAGGTGAAGTCTTCAGTTATAATGTAAAATATTGTTGTAAATAATTTATGTTCTTTCAAATGATAATTAAAATATCTTATGCATTCTTAGAATGTATGTTATTAAGTAGTGATAATATATTTTATAATTAATATATATTATTGATTATGTAATAGAAGTAGGATTTTTAAGACAGTTTTTAATAATATTTTATAACTTAAAATTTAAGATTCTTCACAAAATATTTATTGATTTTTTGGAAGTCATTAGTTGGTATTTGGATGCAAGTTTTTTGAAGCTCCTAGAATTAATATGAAAGTCATTTTCAAAGGATTGGTGTTTAAAAAAATATCATCAATGAAATTGAAAGACAATATATAACATACATTAGAAAATATAAAATTTTATCAAAAAAAGAAGAGGTATCAAATAAAAATCTAAGTATAAATTTTTGTAATAAACTTATTTATGTTACAAACATATCTTAATAACTTGTAATATGTAATATTGATAGTTTAGAATGTGGAGTTATATTTAATAATTTTAATTGTAATTATCAAAATTGACTCATTAGAAAGAAGTTGTAGAAAATATAATTATATTAAAGAACTTGTTTTTTAATTAAATAAAAAAATATATAGATAATTTCTTTTGGATTTGAATGTTGTTGTATTGTAGAAAGTAATATAAAATCCTACAGAATTTAAAGACATCTAATCTATTACATTTGATGTTGCAAATTTTAAAGAAGTGGAAGTTGATTATTAAAGCCTATATAAAAAATTGATCCATATAATTGGAGATAATCACTTTGAATTGTTTGAATCAATAAAGAATCTCTTAAAAATATTAAAAGACTCTTTTTTGCATTGAAGATAGAAATTTGGAAGCTTTATAACTTTCAACTGACATGAAATGTATATAAATATAGTAATCCAAAAGCAAAAGATCTTATAGAAAAATTTATGAATCTAAGTAATGAAAAAATTTAAGTGCAACTTAAAATATATAATCAATTTACATATCTTTGAATAAGATAAATTATATTATTTTTATTAAAGTTATATTTTTTAATAAAAAAGATAAAATTAGGTAATGAGTGATTAAATTTGTAATTATTTAATTCTAGTATGGTATAGTTATGACATATATATTTTATTTTGATGCAATATTTATTCTAAATTTTTTGCACATATATCAAAATTTTGTGACAATTTTGTTTTTTTATATTATGTATTTTTTTTTGTTTTTTTGTTTTTTCAAATTAGAATAATTATTATTCAACGGCTCTGTAATTTAATAAGTTTTTAGAAGTTTCAAAACATTATTAAAAAAACACCTCACAATTTTTAAATAAACAAAATGTTAGAACATATTAAAAGAATTTTATTGTCTAGGAGTTGAAATTTTTTTATCTTAATATAAAAACTCCAATTATTTTAAATAATTATATTATTGAAATTTTATTTATAAATTTATTCAAACTTACATACATTAAAAAAATTCAATATATGAAATTTTTAATAAATTTTAACTTATGTATATATTTAAATTAACAAAGTAATTATAAAAATTAATTAATTTGAAATAATTAAAGATATAAAGATGCTTAAGCTTGACATCAATGACAAACAAAATTTAAAAAATCTTAAATCTTCAATTTTAATAAATATGTACAAATAGTCAAACTTGACGTTTTTGCCAAATGATCTAAAATATCTTAAATCTTTGATTGCATTACATATATTTAAGCATTTAAGTTCTACACCATTACTAAATGAGTTGGAAATTTTTACATTCTTGATTTTATTTAATGTATTAAAATATTTAAGCTTGAAATTATTACCAAATAATTGAGTAATCTTTTATATTTGGTTTCACTTAATATATCAAAGTAGTTAAGTTTATCATAATTTCTAAATGAATTATTTTTTTTAAAATTTTGATAATATTTATTTTATTTGGATGCTTAGATTTAATATTATGGCCAAATAATTTGAGAAATTTTAAATATTTAATTCTATTAGATATATGTGAATGCTTAAGCCTAACATCAATACCAAATGAATTATTAATCTTTCATCTATGACTTCTTTTAGTATGCTAAAGTAATCAAACTTGATGTCATTGCCAAATGAATTGAAGAATCTTTTATCTTTGGTTTTTCTTAATATGCTAGAGTGGTCAAACTTAACATTTTTACCAATAAACTAAGCAACTTTTATTTTACTTTATATATCATATGCTCAAGCTTGACAAATGTATTATGTAAATTTATATCTTTGACTATAATTGTTGTATGAGGGTGCTTAATTTTAATATCATTATCAAATAATTTACACAATCTTACATCTTTGATTTAATTTGATGCATTTATATATTTATGTTATATTATATTAAAACTAAAATTAAATTATAATACATATTTGGCTAGTCTTAATATATTTAGGTATTCAAGTTTGACATTCATATTAGATAAATTTGACAAACTTATATCTTTAACTGTACTTTATTTATTAAAGTGCTTATACTTAATATCATTACTAAATGTATTGCTAAATCTTACATCTTTGATTGAAATTAGTGCATGTGAATATTTCAATTTGATATTTTTGCTAAATTAATTAGACAATTTTAAATCTTTGACCACACTTGATATATTTCAGTACTTGAGCTTGATATTATTGCTAAATGTATTACATAATCTTATCTCATTGACTTCACTTAAAATATCTAAACTCTCAAGCTTACCATCATTGCCAAATAAATTTGCAAACCTTACATCTTGGACTACATTTGATTTATTTCAGTAGAAAATAACCTTAACACTGTTTCTAAGAAAATTAATTTTTTGTTTGCTTAGAACACTGTACTGAAAATGGTTTAACTGCAGATGTCTGTGGCAGGTAAGAATTTCAAGAGAAGATGTCGAGACCACAGCTCAAGGCTGTTAATCATCTGCAGACTATGAAACATTCGGTCCCAACATGGACCTCAAATGAAAGTAGAAGAAGGGCAAGTATCTAGTGTGCTGTTAACAGCTAGATTTGAAACCTCAGAACCAAACTCTGTGATCTCTTCATAAGTCTGCAGCCCATGCTTCGGAGGAGGTGGTTTCTTTAGTGGTCCAGAATGGACATGGATCACCGCACAATGCAGGAAAAGGGGTTCTCAGCACACGACCAAAATGATTCAGCTCATCGATGAAGTGGTGGAGGTTATTGCTTCACAAGATTAAATGATCACCACAAGCGCTTCCTCATTGGCTTGTGGTGAGCCCATCGATAAAGGACCTGAACCGAGTCTAGATTTTACGCTTGAGACATTCGCGTTCCTACTTTCAAGCTGAACCGGAATGCTCCAGTTTTGGACGTGGATGAGTAATAAGATGACAAACCTCAGTTATTTGCTTTGATCGCGACGAATTCTTCCCTGTTCACCCCAAGTGGGTGAAAAAGAAGCACCACAACATGGACTTCGGCCAGGTTGGACGAAGTCATGGAACCTGACAAGGCGCATTATGGTGGAGTTGCTATTTGGTTCGTTGAACACATACATAGCCTGCGAGTTGCATGGTTTCACAGAACGCCTCTCTTTCGTAAACGCAGAGCGCGTGACTTTCCTTCTCGTATTGCAGTTTCACTGAATCCATTCGGCTCGCGCTGAGTTCCACTTGAACCCATCTCTTGGACGCAGTGAAATAATGAAGATTACGCAGACTAAACTCAAGTGAGAAAAATTGGGCGCATGCAAGGAAGGGGGGTGTCTCATCTGCTGATGGCGGAGCCCACAGTGAGCAAAAGGTTGTAGAGGCCTATTAGCTGTCAGAAAAACAAGGCATGGCCCCAGCGTGTGGTGGGAGAGGCCTGCCCATTGGCTGTCACGCTTGGGACCAGTTGCCTTATCCCCATCCCCACCATGCTTCAGGTGAAGATGAGCCCTGCGGCCATTCCGTCGTCTCGCTTATTGCCCCCGCCTCTACCCCCGCCCTCGCCTTCAGCGCACTCAATCCTCTCTGCTCAGGTACTCGCAGAATTCTTCAAATTAATTTTCCACCTGGGTTAGACGTGTTCCTTTCGCGATCAGCTTCTCTCCGTTATGATAGTGTGGTGGGTTTTTGCAATGTCACTTCGGTTGCATTTGAATGGGCCTGGTGTGATCATGAGTGACTTTGCATTAGTGATGGTGAATGCTGCCATCAGAATCTCTTCTGGTTGTTCCGTGTTTTGTGTTGTATTGTGTTTTGTTACCAGGGTTTGTTTGCGACTGAGTTCTCGGTCGATTGGATCCACTCGGTTATAAAGTGCTGGGTATTTCGGATTGTGACGGTTGAGGAGAATTTTATGATAGGTTTGCCGCACGGAATGCATTAGACCTGATGATTGCATGCTTAGCAAGGCTCGTGTCTCGTGTTTTGCTGGTTACTTAAGAGGGAATTGGGATGTGAATTTGAACAGCTGCGAGGCTTCAGTTGTGGTGATCACGAGTACGGTAGCAAAATGGCCATGGCGACCGCAGTCGCAAGCACCAGCTTTACTTCCCTGAAGAAGAACACCGTATTCGGAGCTGGAGTGCAGGGCCTTCGAGCAGCGAATCAAAAGGTTTCAGTTGCGAGACCCGTAGCTGTGCCTTTCGCTAAGCTGTCAACCTCCTCCGATGGCGTTGCCCAGCAGATTGCCGTTGGTGCCAACACATTGGCAGGTAATCACATCCTCTGTACTGAATGCGAATGTGATTGCCCTCCTCTTGACACTCAAAATGACGCGCGCGATTGTGGTGTAGTAACGCTTACTCTGGTATCTGATAGCTTTTATGGATCAGCAGAGCTTGTCGTAGTTTAATACAACGCGCTGCTTTCATTTCATCAGTGAGGTCCGACTGGGTCATGTAAAAGTTCGACCCACTGCTGAAACATTTTCCTTGGATGTGACGATACCCGATGCATGGCAGGCGCAATGTTCGCAGCAATGGCGACATCTGAATCAGCTCTGGCATCGCAGCAGATCATGGCACTAGCAGAAGGCGACAACAGAGTCGTCGCCCTCCTCATTCCCTTGGTCCCAGCTATCGGATGGGTGCTGTTCAACATTCTCAAGCCGGCTTTGAACCAAGTCGACAAGATGAGGAGCGCCAAGGCTTTGGTCGCGGGTGCCGGACTTGGATCCCTAGCTATGCTTGCAGCTCCCCACGCTGACGCTGCTCAGGAAATCGCCCAAGTCGCGGAGTCTGATGCAAGGGGTCTGATCATCATCGGTCTTCTTCTGCCTGCCATCGGATGGGTGTTGTTCAACATCTTGCGCCCAGCTTTGAACCAGTTTGAGAAGATGCAGAACCAGGGCAACACTGGAGCCTCCTCCTCACGCAAGAGGGGAGTAGTTGGAGCCCTCGGCCTCGGAGGAGCATCTATGCTTTTGGCCCCTCATGCCGACGCCGCTCAGGAGATTGCCAATCTTGCCGACTCAGACTCCAGGGGACTGATCATCATTGGCCTCCTTCTTCCAGCGATTGGATGGGTCCTGTTCAACATCTTGAGGCCTGCATTGAATCAGGTTAACCAGATCATCGAGGGCAACGATGTTAAAACTCCTACGAAGGGTGGAAAGAGATTCAAGAGCGTCATCGGAGCCACCGGAATCAGCTTAGCTGCAAGCTCACTGTTGGCTGCCCCTGAAGCCGATGCTCAGGTGCAAGAGATTGCACAGCTCGGTGCTGATACCAGACCCCTGATTCTTCTCTTCATCTTGGCACCTGCCATCGGATGGGTTCTGTACAACATCTTGAAGCCCGCTCTGAATCAAGTGAACAAGATGGTTGAAGGCAATGACACCAACACTCCCAAGGGCGGCAGGAGAAAGTAGAGTTTTGTTTCCACTGCTGCAGGTTCTTCAGAGAAATCAGGTATCTGAGGAGTGGGTAGATCAGTGATTTGTTGCAGGCCAGATCGCGTGGATTGTATGATTAGTAGATAAGTAAAAATTCTTATGCCATGCTTGTATTCGAAACTTTAGCGCAGGATTTTCACGGGAAATATTTCAGAAGGGTTTGCTAGGTCTTTTTATGAAGCATCTCTCGATGACTGTCTATAATTGGGTGCATTTCATACTGGGCGCCTTGTGAGAGTACTGGGCGTATGGAGTCTCAATTTGTCGAATCAATCCTATGTTGCTGGCTAGAGATGATTTCTATCTTTTGGTAATCACCCATAGGGATTCAATTTCAATTAATCCAAATTTTCCAGAACTGTACAAATTCTTTACCAGTGCTTTCACGAAACCACGCCTAACACTGAATCTGGAGTCTCTTTAATTATTGTACCCACTGATCCTGACTAATCAGCTCGAAGCTCATCAATTCATGAAGTGGGGACTGTAATCCAGTTGCACTAATTTGATGATATGTTTGACGCAAACTTGCTAACATTCATCACTGATACAGCATTTCACGCAGCAATGTGGACGGTGGATCCGATCACGGTTCTGCCGGAGAAATTTGTTAACTGATGATCTTTCTCTTCCTTCCTCCCAACTGCTATTCTTCGAGTCTGTTTTTTCATGGAAAAAGAATAAGAAATGTCATGTACTCTAATGGTTTCTTCACTAGTATTTTTCCGCGAGATATGTATTTCCAAAAGAAGACATGACACGCTTACACAAACGATGCGAAATTCGAAAGTTATCAATCACTTGCATGTAGAAAATTCTCTGTCTTCAGACACACACGTAAAAAGATTTTTCTCAATGAAAAGGTAATTGTCTTGAATTAACAAGTGAACATATCAATGGAGGTGAGTCAAATCATACCGAGCAATGTTGTCTTCGAGATAAAAGAAAATTAGTTTGAAGTGCAACATTGGTTGAAGTTAAGAGTACATATGAATAGAACAATGACCAATTATAACAGGGACAATGTAGGAAGGTCACTAACTTTTTAGAAACAAATAGTATGCCTTCTAATCTTGTACCTTGCCACACAATTTTTATACTCTTAAAATGCATTCTAGATAAATTCTTGTGTTTCAACTTTTAGACATTTAAGTCTTATCATGATTCATTAATGAATATAATATTAAGATTCTAAACTTAAATGCTTGTAAACAAGGTTATCTTGGCATATATTAAAGTCAATGATGTATAGTTCCTAGAGTAAAGATATTTTGTTGAAGAAATACAGTTTGTAATGATTAAAATTAATGAAATATCATATGTTATCTTCAAAATTAAATAATTTCCTTCGCTCTTGTTTATCTTTAGTTTTCATAATTTTAATTATATAATATAATGATATATTAGTTAGTAAAAATAATTTTATTAAAAATATATCAATTATAAAAAATAAATAATAAAAATAAAAAATATATTTTTTTTGTGAAAATTTTAAGAATAGATCAATAGAAGATAATATTTTGTATAAAGTATTGTCAAAGACATGAACTGGAAAAGATGCATAAACCTGGGAAATCTATGTCAAAAGAAAAGTGACAAAATAGAAATAAAGTAGTATGTATATTAAAAAGAAACTGGAATAGCTATTGCCAAAAGACCAAGAAGCTAGAGACTCTTGAATCTAGATTAGAAGCAAGAAAGAAGTTGACAAGAGTGAAGAAGGCTTCACTCTTGCCTCTATATATACTATCTAACTAAAAACTACGTGACAATGTTCTATAGGACCTCTAATATGTGTTGACTTTGCAAGACACATGCTTTAGCTTACAAGACAAGTTTTCTATGTGTGGGCCATATAGTTAGATTGTTCTTCAAGCTATTAACATGTATTATACATAGCAAACTTATTGACTACGATTCTAATCTAAAAAATTAATTATAGACACCTATAAAGTCAAAGCAACATCTACAAAGCTTTTGAGAGCTTCTGTAGAAGATATTATGGGATTAACATACTTTTATCTAATCATATAAGTAATTATTGATTTACATGTATATGTTCATGACATTACTCTCCATTCTAGGGACGAGTTCTATAAGCAGTAGTCATTATATGTTGAGGATATTTAAGATGAAGAGAATTGTATTTGCCACATATTCAGATGTTTGTTTTTTTTGAAGATGGTTGATAGGGCCTCTCAACCATTGATAGTCTCCCATACCAGGGCAAGAAGACTACTTAATTATTTGATCATTTTTAGGGCCTTCATAACTTCTTTCAAATGAAACATTTGAAATATTATCAAGCATTGTTCATACTTCTAGTAAAATTACCAAACATCCATAGTTCCTTGTAATGTTGTGATACCAAACATGTTGTATCTTGCCATCTATTTGACGAAATACATGTCGTTCTTCATGATCTTCATTTTGGTTATGTTGACTTGAAGGTTGTGACAATCATAATGTTTCATCTGACAAGTCAACAAACAAAAGCTCTTGAGTGAAATCCGCTAGTTGTTAGTTCTCTAATTCTTTTGTGTCACAATATATAAAAACAACAAACAAAGATAGAAGGTAGAATGCAATCTTCTCTAGACCTTGTTTCTTTTATAACAAAGACTTACCATTCTTCATTATTATCCACTTCTATAGGAAGAGGTGGAACTTGTCTTCTTCTTAGTATGTTCACAGTCTTATATGGTTTAAAAACAAGCTCGTGGAATATAAGATAGTTCTTCATTGACTCCGGTACATATAATTGATAAGCAATTGGATTGATTTGTCTACAAATATGAAAAGGTCTAAGCCTGAGGTAGTCCAACTCATCACAAGGACAAGTAGTCTTGATATTATGACAAAGTAATCATATCTTGTCACCTATATTGAATTATGATTGTTTCTTTTGATAGACATCCGAATTCATCTTTTGTCGTTCTTGAGCTTAATTTAATTGTACCTTCATTGTTGCATGTAGCTCAGACAAATGATTTGCTAAACTTTCTATTTTAGGATTATCAACTTTTAAAAAGTCAAAAATATTAAGTCATGGATTGTAATCATAATTGATAAAGAAAGATATTTGTTGTATAGAAGAATGAATCGTATTATTATAAGCAAACTCTACCAAAGGTAATAAAATTTTCTAATCGTCTTATTAATAATTGTTGGTATACCTTAAATATTGCTCCACAACTTGGTTTACAAGCTCTATCTGTCCATCAATTTGAAGATAAAAGGCTAAAGAAAGATTTATGTCCATCTTTAGAATCTTAAAAAGATTTTTCCAAAATCTTGATATAAATTGAGTCTTCCTATCTAATATAATATTTTTTGGCAATCCATGATATCGATAGATATTATCAAGAAAAAACTTGGCAATTTCTTCACTTGTGATAGATTTTGTACATGGTACAAAACGTGCCATTTTGGTGAAATGATCTACTATCATGAATATAGAATCTTACAAACCTGAGACTTAAAGATTTGTAATAAAATCCATAGAAATAAAAGACCATGGTTGTTCTGAAATAGGTAATGGCTGAAGAAGTCCATAAGATCGATGATGAGGAGTTTTTGATCTTGAGCAAATGTCACATGATTGAACAAAGTCTTTTATAGCCTTCTATATTTGCGGCCACCAAAAATCTTTAGATATTACCTCCAAAGTCTTGTTATATCCAAAAATGTCATATTGCTAAAAAGTCATGACATACTTAAAGAACACCTAAACATGCTTCTCTTACTGGCACATATAAGTGTCCTTTGAAATAAAGTAGGTTGTTCTTGAATTCAATCTTAGAAGTATCATAAGACTTAAAAGAAGTATTCTTCATATTATGAACAAGAGGATTAGAGGACATAATTGATTGAATTTGTTTGAAAAAACTTGAATCAAAAATAAATATTGATTTCATTGCTTGAAGATGAAATTATTCTTGCTTCAATAAAATTATCTTTTGTTGATCAAAAGTTACATTTTTTTCTTTAGGTGCAAGGTAAAAATGTCAAAAAAGGGTATCAGACAAACCTTGTTGTTTTTCTAGCCAATAAGTATTATTGAGCTCAAATCTTAATAAAGATATGTTCCAACAAGCTTAGTGACGATTCAAAATATGAATTGACATGAAATACTTGAAGTTCTTGTGATTCGTATATACAATGACCGGGCTAGAAGTGCCTTCTAGATAATGACACCATTCTTGAAAAGAATCCATAATTGCAAGAAGTTCTTTGTCATGGATTTCATAGTTAATCTTAACTGCTGAAAATTTTCTAGAATGAAAAGTTACTAGGTGAAGTTTATCACCTATTCCCATTTATGATAATACGACACCCAAAGCAAAGTCTGATACATCTATTTCTATAAAGAATGGCTTAAAAAAGTCAACATGATATAAGATTGGTGCAGAAACAAAGATTGTCTTTAAAGCTTCAAATACTGCTTCCACTTCTTAATTCTACTAACGTTTGTATTTACAAGTCAAATATGTAAGTAAAGCTATAATTTGAGAGAAGTCTTTCATAAAGATCCAATAGTAGTTGATAAATCTCAAAAAATATTAGATATCTTGGACTATTTTTGAAATCTTCCAATCCATAATAGTTTGAACTTTTTTAGGATCCATCATAAGTCCATTATTTAAAATGATGTAACCTAAGAAGTCAACTTGAGTAGTGAAGAATATAGACTTTTCTATCTTGGCATAGAATCTTGCATCTCTTAAGTTTTGTAATACATAGCAAACATGAAATTTATGTTCTTCTATGTTTTTTGAATAGATCAAAATATCATCTAGATAACAAACAACAAAATTTTCTAAAAACTCTCAAAAAACATCATTCATAAGATGTTAAAAAGCTGCTAGTGCATTTATAAGTCCAAAAGGCATGACATTATATTTAAAATATCCATACCTAGTTCAAAATGCAATCTTCTATTTATCACCTTCTTTGATGCATACCAGATTATATGCTCATCATATATCTATTTTTGTATAAATCTTAGCTTAATTCAAGTGATCAAGAAGTGTAGATATTAAAAATAATGAATATATGTTCTTGATGGTGATCTTATTGAGTCCTCGATAATCAATACACATCTATAATAATCCATCTTTTTTCTTCACAAATAAAATTAGGGCTCATATTCGAGATTTGGAATGGCATATGAAGTTTTTAGCTACATTCTCTTTAATATATTCTTTGAGTTCAGGCAACTCATTTTGTGATAAATTCTAGATTGGTCCAAATGGCGATTGTGCTCCTTCTTGAAGATCAATTGAGTAGTCATAGGACCGATGTTCTGGAAGAGTATCTGCATTCTTTTTTTCAAAAAAATCTTAAAATTCTTGATATTGGCTTGGAGTGCCACTTGAAGTCTTTACACCATTAGAAATGAGTGTGGCATAAATGATACAAGGTGATCTTTCTTTTGCAGTATGTAAAAAAAAACTCTTGCATCTATAAACACAAGTTTAATTATACTAGACTTGTGATTTTCTACTTGATTAAGTACACTCTTAGTTACACTTTTAGAAAAATCAAGAGTACAGATTTTGTTACACATTTGATAAATTTGTATATGAAACATCCATAATGCTTTAAGAATAAAGAAGATTAGAAGCACCATTTGTAATTAGTATTGAAAAAGCTTTAAGAACAAGAATCATATTATATATTAGAAATTATAATTATATTAATATTTAATTATATTCTTAGCTTTTATTAGATCAAGCAAAGATATTTCTATGGATCTAAAGAAAATTTAGACAAAAATCATGGAGTAGTAGATACATGAATCAATTATATACATACAACATTAAAAAAAAAGTTTAGGCTTCTTTAGAATGTTAATAAAGAACTTAACAAGAAAAAAATAATTTTAGTAGGATGTTATGACTAGTGAATCTTTTAAAATATTAATGGATGATTTTACATTAATGCTAATATTATTACATGCAAATATAAGATTTTTTTATTTATTAAATCTAATATAATTAATATTTTTACTTAATTTAATACTTATAAAATATAGAAATATTGGCAATTTTATTCTATTGTAAATTGTGATTAGATGTTCTTTATAAACAACTACAACATTAAATTTAAAAGAAATTAATCTTGATATTATTTAATACTATTAATGAATATTTACTTAAAGATATTTATAACACAAAATAGTGTATTCAGGTAAAAAAAAATAATATTTTACTAACTCAAAAGATTTAAAGTAACAATAAATCAACAAAAATACAATAGTAATTTGGTTAACTTCCTTGTTGTATATTATTCTATTAATTTCTACAAAAAATATAATTTTATATCTTGTAAATTATTCTGAATTCTAAAAATAAATCCATGTTAAATTTATAATAAAATATTGCTTTAAAGCTGATTGAATTAAATTTAACCACTATACTCATAATAAAATTTGAAAATATTTTTTATACAATATAACACAATAGATTTGAAAGAAAAATTAAAAATATTCAAGAACAAAATGTTTTTTGAACCAATCAAAGATATTCTAAACTAAAATGGTGTTAAAATAACTTTAATACTTATAATTACTTATTTCAAAAATATTTATTTATATAAAAAAATGAAATTTAAAATTTAAAATTATAATTATATTTATCCAATAAGAAAGTACATTATTAGCTCCAATCTATTATAAAAAATAAGAGATTTTTAAATCATAATAAAAATACAAATTATGTATTGAAAAGAGCAAAAATGACTTGTATCTTGCATTTGTGTATACCACTAAATAATAATTTCATTTCTAAGCTTTTTTTATAAAAAAATAATCGAAAAAAATTACTCATTTATTTAAAAAGTTTATTATATTTTTTTATAACTTTAAAAACAATTTTAATATTTGTATTTTGAAGATATCATCTGAGTGATTTCTAATTTATTTATTTATTTATAATTGTCGTATAAATAATTTTACTTATTCATTGTGTTTAGATATGTAAGAATTACAAGAAATTAATTTATTAAATAACAAAAACGAAATATAATAGTCAATAAAGTCAGGCCTGGAGATAATATATCCTCTCATATTGAAACAATGTTAACCCAATTCTGTTGGCATAGAGACATTACTATTAATGCACAGAGAGAGTAAATTTCTTCTACAATCAGTAGCCATTGCAATTAATAAAATCACGTTGCACAGATTTTGGTTTAGTCCAGCAACGACCAATGGATGGAATCATGCACCTCCAAAACCAACAATCTTTACTCTATCCAACTCACACATCCCTAAAACTCCAAGCAAACCATTGTTTGGAACAGATCTCTCCTCATTGTTTAAATTGATCTACCAGATATGGTTTTCATTGCAAGGGTTCATTTACAGACAATCTAGTAGCAAAAAAACAAAGAACACAGTTCAAGATTTAGATTTGCCAGCAAAAGACAGTCAGAAATATCATCCGATCCATTCTCATGACGGTATGTTAAACTTGCTTAAAAGTTAAGGAAAAAAAAAGAAAAAAAGAGAACAAAAACAAAAAACAATTGAATCGTCTACCAATAAAGAAGAAATGCATTTATGAAGGTTTGATAGAATGTGAATCTCGTATACTACCCTCTGTACAAAGCCGGGCTCAATGGTCTACTGGCTCTGCTACTTACACTGCAACAAAACACTGATTTTCAATCACTCAAACTTAGAAATCGCCAAATCGTATTGGTACCATTGTAGTGTGTGTGATGCTTCTGGGTGGGTCTATGAATCAGTGGGCTAGACTCCTCCCAACAGCGGCAGTGGCGGTGGCGACCCTATCCGGTATTACACGTTAGCATGGTGTTCAATAACTTTCCCACTCACAGATTTGGAGTAAGGCTGAAAAATGTATTAAGATTCACTTTTTGGGAGACCCATGCTTTGAGAGCGGCATGGGATTGAGTCAAATTCACAAACTTTCACTAGAAGAAACTTGTTCCGCCAGTTTGGAACAGAAGCTAATATTGTGGAGGACCTCTAACGCACAGAACTTAAGATCACAGTGTCACAATTTCGAGGTCTGTAATCGTAATCTGGCCGCTTCTCTGTGGCCTTTGGAAGCGTAAGCATGATACAGTCGTGAGAGATCATAGATGTCAGACTTTTCGTCCAGTTTGACGCTGCGACACGCTGTCGGCGGCAAGCACAACTAGTGTGATCAAATTTTGCGGAAATTCTCTGGTTTGTTCGTTGACGCTGCATCAAGTTTGCAACTTCAAAATATGATTTTTAATATTCTGATTATCGTTTCTTTTATTGGTTTCGGTGGTTGCTTGCCGCTACGGCATCACGCATGTGCTCGTGTGTACGCACTGGCAGCTCCAGAGCCGGATTCGCGAGTGTCACTGTTGGGGACTGTATCTGAACGTTAACAGCATCACGCCTAATGGAGTATGCTGCAAACTTGGACCGATGAGCAAGTGGAGTAACGGAGATCCCCAGATAGTCAATTATGGCTTGTGCTTGTTCAGATTTAAATTCTTCCTCTGTTCTCCGGGGTGCTACTCTCAAGCAACTGAGGAACATTCACGCGCGTCAACTTGCCACGCTTGCTTGCAATTGCAACAACCACCTACATGAGCGTCCATCATTGTGAGTGAACCTCCTCCTCCCAACCAATGCTTACGGATTATGCACGTCGGTGTAATTTGCATGCGTCGAAAGTACTTGTGAAACAGGAGCAAGGCTTGATTTTTCAGATTACACCTAGACTTAATTCAAAGTTGACCAACTCTGTTGTGAAAGCACAAGCACAATTTCTTTGCAGTCTGCATTTCAAGGGTAGAAGCATTTGCCGAATCCATTCACAGATTTGTGAATGGATTCGAAGGAATTTGAATGGGGGTCGCTTTACTCCATGTCCAGATTGCTAGTTACTGAGTGCATCACTAGTGCAGAGCGATTGAGCTCGATCGATCACTAGAGATGATTTAGAATCACGTCGAGGCTACGTACTTAAGATTAATGTTCCGGAAGGCACGAGTTTCTTTTGACATGGAAGCTTAAGAGGTAATTTTCTCGATCCTGGATAGAAATCGGTTTGTGAAGCTGCATCGGATACTTACACGGATGTGACTGAACTCATCCGAAGTTGTGCGAGAGGAGTGTTACATCGTCTTGGAAGTCTGGAAATAATGGCAACAAGTGGATCGTCAAGGTTCTCAAGTCAAAAAAAGCCTCCTGCAGGTGCTAGAGGCGACACCCGTGTAGAAAAGTGCGAAGTGTTCTACACATCTCTGTCTGACAAATTGGATGCGCTAGAGCAGAAGGTGGAACCACAATGGTTGACGCTGGAGTGGGTGTCGCTTGGGATCGAATTCATGCGGTCCACGTTTTCAGAAATAATGGTCCTGTTCGAGGACGTGCGAGCTCTAATGCCCGACGTCAAAGTGGCTGAGGAGATGTGGATCGAGGAGTACATGATAGAGAGCATGAAGCTACTTGATGTCTGCAATGTCCTCAAACCTGCGGTATCAAGGTTTGAGCATTTCATGATGTGCGTACAGCTCGTCGAACAAGCTCTGGAAAGGTGAAAGCATGTAAAGCAATTCTCATACCCAAGAAATTAAAGAGTCGTGCACAGTATCGTACCTTACTTTCAAGAGCGAGATTTGTTACATTTATGTTTTTTGTAGTTTGCTCTCATTTTAGAACTCAATAACATGAAATTCATGCTCAATTTTCAACAACACGGAGCCTTAGGACCGTTCCGTGGGCGAACACTTCCTGACCCAACGCTCTCCGAGTCGTACTCTCATTGAGCACACTAATCTAATTGTTGCTCTTTTGCTGGTAGCAGATCCCGGGCAGGAAACCAAGATTGCGCATCGAACAGTACCCTGATGGCTGCACTGCAAACCTATGAATCTAAGCTAAGCGAAATGATCCACCCACTTAGCACTGTGGAATTATCACAAACGCTGGGGTTGCAGTTTAACCCAAAAGGCACCACGGGCAGTCCCCAGCGGTATGCAAGCATTGCCATCGGCGAAAAATTCACAATTGATAGCAGTAACGTCGTTGCTCAACCATGGCCATGTCCTTCTAGGCCTAACCATGACAACAGTGGAATCTACAAAACCTCGAGGAGCACCGCAAGGCTAGCCCAAGTCGCGCGCGCAACGGGAAAGACAACCGACTTCGTCTCCAGCGTCCTCATTTGGGCCCTTCAGAGAGACCCGTCCGCCTATCCATCTTCCACCACCTGGCAGCAAAACCTCGAGACGTTCCGCGGAGACGATACCCTCTGGTCTCCTTCGTTCCGCAGGTTGCAAGAGCGGCTAAAGAGGGAACTCTTCGAGGTCTTGAGTGACGATCGTTGTGTGAGGCGCCAATTCGCGTTCGAAGAGGTCAAACTTGTGCAGGACTGCACGATGGGCATAGTCGCGGAAATCAAGGAACCGACATCACGAAAACAGACCGGGGAGGAATCATCGATAGAATCCCTGGACAAGCTGGAGAAGCAGCTAGTGGCGCTGGTCGAAAAGATCCAGGTGCGACTGGAGAGAGTCTCGACCCAACTGAACCAACTCTTCGATGAGCTGGTCCAAGCTCGAAAGAAGCTCTTGGATGCTACCCAGCGCCCAGGCATGATCCATCGCGCCCACACCTTTTGAACAGGTCCACCACCATCTCGACAATCGCGTCCGATGCTTCAATTCCTGACACCAACTCACACCAAGCGACTGCTTTCCTTTAAACACTGCAAGTCTGGCTCCTCTAGATCTTAGATTTAAGTTCCACTACTTTCCCGAGATTAGACTTGAAGTGTAATCTTCTAGTATGCATGAGAGGTTTCTCCTTGAATTTTCGGTCCATGGCTATTCGGTGAACTGATTCATCTAGTAGTGTTGCTTGTTCGCCGAGCGTCCGCTCGCATTGATCGATCCGTAGCTTCTGGTTCGATAGCCGTCTGGACTGGCTGCTAGGGAGAATCGGTCCCCACGCTCTTATCTATGAATGGAAAGTCATCGTTTCCTGCGGACATCATGAACACTTCCAAAATCTCAAGCAAATTCCATAATGGAAATATAATTTCATTGTTGGGCTTGCATAATCTACTTCTAGTATTATACATATTTGGGGTTTTGTAATAAATGGCGTGCTTGATAGGATTATACATCTTTGGGGTTTTGTAATGAATAGGGTGCTTGATAGGATTATACATCTTTGGGGTTTTATAATGAATGGCGTGCTTGATATGATTATACATCTTTCGGGTTTTATAATGAATGGCATGATTGATAGGATTATACATCTTTGGGGTTTTATAATGAGTGGCTTGCTTGATAGACTTATTGACAAAAAAAATTCAAATATTGCAAATATTGTAATCAACATGGATGTATGAATAATACAACATATGAACCATTGGCATAAGTGAATCCTTCTCACACTCCTTTCTAAATTTGCTTTATTGCTAAGTTTTCTATTGAAATGGAAAGTGGGAGAAAGAAACAAGTGTGAGTGTGACCTTCTTAGTGGACAAACCCATCAACTTGTATATAATATGGTGTTTTTTTATTAAATTGAAAATCATTGAGATTAATCTTTATTCCTACTAAAACATAACTTTAAAAAAATATGTAGTGAACTGATATATTATTTTTTTTATTGAAAAAATATTTATTTTAATTTTTATTATTATTATATTTTTATTTAAAAAAATAGGAGTTTTAGTAAAAGTCAATAGTAAACTTAGACACTATCAATCTTAGAAATGCATTGGTCAAACTATTATCTAAATAGATTTTCTAAGCTATATCGTTAAGATTAGCTAAACTATGTTTGATTCAAATGACCTCCATACTATAATATTTGATTTTTCTTAAGATATAATATATTATACATTCTTGTCTAATGTAAAAGAAAGATATAATATCTTTGATAGAAAAATATAACCATTGCAAATATATAAATATATTCTAATTATAAGATTAGTATAAATTATTTCTCAATTACAAATTCACTTCTCTATTATATACTTTTTAATTTAAAGTTTTTGGTCTTATCATAATAAACAAGTAAATAAAAAGGACACTTTTGTTCAACTTTCATTGAACTTTATACTATAGATACTTAAAAAAACCTTATATTAGAATATTTAATAGTCTAAATTTATTCATAAATCACATTAGCTATAAATTCCTAAATTAGTTTATGTTTCTAGACATAGATAATAAAGTTAGACAAGTTTTAATAAATCTGTGTATTTAAAATAAATGAACAAAAAGTATAAGTTTTTTGAATTGTAAGATTGTAGCAAATTTTTGCTAATACTTCTACTAAATACTAGTAGTATATTAAAGAATATTTAATTAATTATATAACAAAATAATATAAATTACTTTTATTAAAATATCTCTAATTGAAATTTTACAAAGTACAAATTAATGACCATAAAATCAATTAGAAGGATATATAATTGAATTATTGAATGTATAAAACAAACCATGCTATTGGAACAAGTTTAACAAAAAGAGATAACTCTAAATATATAGAAAATCTAATCACCAAGAAGCAAATGTGATCCTTGATTAGTGTGCAAATCAATAGCTTTTAAATGTAACTTCTATTAATATTGGTATTATAACCAAATAAGATAAATATATATTTGATTTTTTTTTAACCATTAAATTTCACAACTACAAAAATAAAAATAGATAATAAGAAGTGTTTTTTTAACATCATATTGTTATCACAAAAATATATTTTTTTTACCTTTCTCAAGTACCAAAATAATTAGATTATATTTTAAATATATGTATATATATATATATATATATATAAGAAATTGTTAAAGCAACCCAAGTATTTACTAAATCAATCCACTCATTATTATTGGTTGAAAATCCAACCATTTTTTCATTGATTTTTGACCATTACAAATTCAATAGTGGAGAATTTTTTGATGACGGTTATGATGAAAGGGTCAATTTAGTTTTCAACACATGCAAAAGATTCACCCAGTTCGAGGTTTTCAACATGCTGGGCCAAGGGGAGTTCATACTCTCTAAACCTCGAACTGGGTGACACGTGGTTGATAACGCCGATGTGATTGATGATCAGGTCGATATTGATTCGTTTAACGCCCTCCTCTCCATGATTCGAAGCGGAGTTGGCAAATTTCCTATCTCTACTAGTTTATCCTGCTTCTCTAGTCGCTAACTCTCTCATCTGCCTGTCTGTCTGATTCGTTCTTCAGCACTTTGAATTGGGCTTCATTTTCTTCCATCTTCCAAAATCAAGGCAAAAGGGTACTATTAAAGAAATTGTGTATTTGGTGATTGCTTCTATTCATGCTGTAAACGTCGCGATTCATTTCACATCGAATGAGTATGCACACTGGGTAGAGCAGCACCTGCTAATCAGAATGTCTTTCACTCTAGAGCTTTGTAAAAGATGGTATAGAAGGCGTCAAATCCTGATGAAATATCAACCACAAGCATCAGATAACCGTTTTGCAATCCAACTACTCGAACTTCACATTGGCATGCTCATCATTGCAGTGTGATTTTCTTGTTTCGTATTTCATGGTAACGAACGTATCAATTGGTTTAACGTTCAACTCTGTCTCAACAAACCCACGACAGTCCGTCTTAATTCACGCTTCACATTCTCAGCTAGCTCAATATAAAATTAATTTAAAGCACTAATTTATCGAGCACTGCAAAAATAAATAACTAAATAACTAAATAAAATTGAGAATGCTCATCAGAAAGAGACTGGTTATTTGTCCTAAGACAAGGTTATATCAGAAGCATCCTAAAATTATAGAGGAAGCAAATTCTGCATAAATTACAGACTCTTGAAGCCTTGACAATACACAAAATGTGAGAATATCTCTAAACACGGAGCTGACCCTTTAATCCAAGACGGAGATTGTGGGTATTCAGGAGAGACATCTCAACAGGCTTCACCGGTACATAATGATATCCAATCGATCAGGAGTAAGAGTGGTAGCAAAGGAACTTACCCACAATTTTCGCTGGAAATTCGCAAATCACTACCCAAGTCTTAATCAGAAAATTTGGGCCTCCCAATTTTGCTAAGGAACTAAGGGCTTTCGCGATGGTCTCTGGCACAAAGACGGCATCCTTAGAGAACTCAGATGCTCGTCCACTCCCCTTCCTATTCTTTGACACAGCTACTCCCACACGGTAGCCAAAAACTTGCAAACCCAGCTCTTAAACTGCATTTGCAACCTCGCTCGAAGTCAATAACTGAAGGAGCTTCCCCGCTACACAACGATGGGCGGTGCAAAACCAGGAACATCGGAAAGCAAGAGTCTGAGTACCATAGCAAACGCTGCAGCGCAAGATTCGAACAGAGGAGTGGCCCGTTCAGAACTCACCTGCAGAATCCCCACAACTGCCATGAACGAGGTCCGCGATGCAGAGAGAGCGGCTCCATTATCACACAAATTCCGAGTGGGCTGGCATGCAGTTGATACATAGGGCGTCATCGCATCCTTATCAATGAAACCGTCGAGACAACGCAACAAGCGTCTCGCCATCTGGGCATCTTCGGTGGTTCCTGGTGAGAGTTTCATGAAGAAACTTCATATTTTAGATTACTTTAAATCTTTTAATAAATTTCCTAAAATCATGTGTCCAGTTTTTTAATCTAAAAACCTGATCTCGTTTATATTGCTCTTAAACTTATATTGTAAGTTTTGATGATAATCTTTTGATAAATTTCTAATCTCTCATCACATCTTGACTATATTCCAATTATCATTCAGCAGGGTTGAGAATAATTAACATGAGTAGCATTATAACCAGAAGATATCCTCGCATATTTATGGCTTTCTCCATTTGGGAGTACCGTCTTGTATTGTGAGTTGAGGGTGGAGATGCTCCACCACGGGACTCTGCGTCTCGTACCGGGACCCAACTGTGATGATGCTCGTGGCGTCGAACGGCAACGCAAATGCTTCCCCACCAATCTCCGAGAATTCTCGGAGATTTCCGGCAGGACGCGTCACCACAGCATCAACAGGAAATCCCTGTGTCATCATCAACCATGTCTCCAAATCCACATTCTCGATCGCAACAAGTATTGTAGTTATGATATCTGTCTGTAAATGCTCAACGACTTAGGAAAGGGGTTCAGTGGATGACTGGATATGCATTTTAAAGGATCCTAGCTCAGATTGCGACTTTGCAGTGGAAAACGCAACTGGGTAAATCAGCATTAGGTCGAAAATGCGATGCGTGAGTGAGTTGTACAGAGGTTGCTTACTTTTGATTCTCTCGACATTGCTCCCATCAGCCATGACCCGCATAACGAAAGTGGCAAATGATTTGTCCGTGTCTCAGCCTGGAATGCCACAGTGGGCAGTAGTTACAAGGATGGCGAGGAGAAAGATCCTATCAGAGGGTGACGGACCTGCAGCTCATGACAAGTGGTCCGAATGAAGTGGGGAAACACCATTCGCTGCTGGCCAACGAACATTCTCCACAACATGCTCGGTACCCTTCGAAGAGACCTGTGATCGGTGGAAAAGGCCTAAAGATCATTTTCGCTGATTTTCTGCCGTGTGTCGTGACGGCATTTCATGGAAATGTGTTCCTCTAGTCGTTGCACTGTTAGGCAGCTTCCCGAATGAAGGAGCCTCGATAGACGAAACAGCTTATTAGCTAATACAATCTCAAATTGAGAAGTGCTAAGAACTAGTACGCTATAGCTATTGATTCTATCTTCATGCTTTCACCAGCCGCTATCCTTCAGGTGAGAGTTCTAGAATGAGTCAGAAATGAAAATGAACAGCGGTCAGGCACGGCAACAAGTCATTGAGATTCATCTCATTCAAATCAGTAACAGGCAAAAAGAAAAATTGGCTGATCCTCCAAGGTCTATTTCAGAAAGGAGCTCTTGTGAGTACTCTTGAATCCTGAAGTGCGAATTCGCGGAGCCATTTTAATGAAAACATTGCCATTGGCATTATTTCTCTGATATGGTAATCGCTACCCAATTTAATGCCAAACTGCTCTACTGTGCACATGGTCTCAACAAGCTGAACCGCTCTTCAGAATACCAGCACCAAATAAAATTGGGTCGTTGATGCTTCCGTGACCTTGGTTGCAGTTCGTAAGAGTCTCTCCAAACTCATAAAATAGACTCCAATTGTTTCCTCGGAACATTGACATTGTGGACTTCAGCGTGAAACAGGGCTTGCGCTACGAGCGCCCCGAAGACAAGGATCGGCAGCAGCATGAGCAGCCACGGTGGTGGAGGCAGGGGGAGGATTGACATGAGTGGGATTAGGAGGATCATCGTTGCTACAATTACAAGCACTGCCCACCCCATACCGCGCCCATTCATCTACCATGAAGAGCAGAAGGAAATGTAGATGCGGAAATCCCACTCTATTCGCAGTTCTACAGCTATTCTCAATGTGTCCTTCAATGGATCCGTGAAGGGCTATCGCTTGCTGAAGCAGAAGCTGGTCTGCACAATGCAACATCAAACGAGAGTATTCTTCAGATTTCAAGTTGGAATACCTCAGAGTTGGTATTCACAATGTACCAACAGTCTGAAGAAGATGGCTTCCCAAGTTAACCGAGCTTCAGGGAGTATTCAACTTTATGAGCCAGCAGCCTCTAGTTGCTGGTAAAATGAATCTAGTCATAACCAGTTTCAATGCATGACTTGAAACAATGACCATCAACTTTTCCTCGATCTTGCTGCAGACCCACCCGCCGCATTGCAGGTTTCGATATGTACCTTTGCGGTTGGGCGGTTGCAAATTTGACGAAATTTCGGACTGAGAAGCTTGGTGTGCAAGTTGCAACGCCTGTGTCAGCAAAAAGTGAAAGATTGTGGCACGCTTGCTGCACATGAATAAGCGCTCTCACTTGTCTCCCCATCCTCACCTCCAGCTTATACTTTCGGAGAGCATCTTGCAAGTTTTATTACCTTTGCTAAACAGGTACAGGCATTCCGAGGCATCCAAAAACATTGTAACCTTTATCAACTTCCCTATACGACGTTCCTGATAACTTCAACGTGGTTGTGAACAGAAAGAACGATCTCAAGGAAGGAAACGTTGCACTACCACGTTGCTGTCACCGGACACGAATGATTCAAAAAAGCATCAAGCTACCAAAGCGCGTAACTACAACAATGTGGTATGACTCTCTCCCCCATGCACTAAGCTATCCCTCTTCTTAAACCAAAATTAAAAATTATCAAAATGACAAAAACAAAGAAAACCAAACTAATGAGTTGAGGTATGTATGTGATGGCCTCAAGAGCTCAGAGACTGCCATAAAGCGCAACCGTAGGGTCATCTTTCTTACAGCAAGGTTGCAACTTACGAGTTCAACATGCAGCAACAAGCCCAAGAGCTGAAATCTGGCACCGGAACTCTTCTTGAAGGTTGGGTTTCTCATCCTCTCCGGATCACGGTCATCGGCGTGAAGTTGACGCTGAATGCTTTTCATCAAATGTTAATAACTGCCACAAGTTGATACTTACTGCTCCTGAGTTACCCAGTGACGAGCAGGTACCACAATGCTCGAATACAATTCTTCATTGACTGGTATTAGTGGGGGTGAGGTGTTACTTTCATGATTAGCTGGGGACATTTGAGTTTGTGCCGGAACAATTCCCCAAAGGACGATAAATCCGTGATATGAGGCTGGTACTGCTCTTCACCCCACAAGTGATGGAATGACCTTGAGTGACTCAAGATCGCGATAGTGTACTTGCTTCAGGAGCTCGGGTCAAAGAAACCTATGAGGACTGTGTACCACCGTGGTACCTTGGGGTGTGATCAAGTGGAGAGGCTCCATTAAATGCAACAAAACTCACAACTGACCCAAGGACAACCTGACATGAAACCAAAAATATCTCAGGCAGTCTTTGTATCAATACCAGCGTGCCACTATTCCGTTCACCTTGATGCTGCGAATTCATGATGATTGTGGCCGACCAAGATGCCGTTTGTACTTCTCATCGATGGAATACGATTATTGCAGTGTATCATGATCCGCACAACTGGAATGACATAGGCAAGTCAGGACGTCAGTGCCGTTCGAGCGAAGTAGCGAGAGCGAGCGAGAGGTACTATTAGGCAACTGATCTGTAATCATGTACAATATCTTCACTAGATGCGGCGAGAACTAACCTTGCTGTGAGTCCATAGAAGGCAATGCCCTCTGTAGATAATCTTAGCCAAATTTTCGGTGCATACCGCAACAAACTTTGTTAAATTCTATTGGTCTGAGTTTAGTTTTGTAGACTACCCAGATTATGAGCTCTGTCTTCCGGTGCACTTTCGAGCCGAGTGTGAAGAACAATCTCTTCTTGGTCAAATCAAGCATGAACCTGACAAAAGATCAGATTGATAGATGTCAAATAAGTTTTGATTAGGAAAGAAAATTTACGTGAGCTTAGCAAACCGTGTGGTTTTAACGATTTGTAGCAATAATCCTTTGGCAACGGAAAGCACATCTGCCTACTGTCTTCAACTCTAGATCCATGGGTGTCATTGATTGGCAAGTGCGAATTGGCTTCAAAACCCAACCTGTAACTAAATCTCACGCATTTTATGTGCTTTTATTACGACTTCGGGTCCTTGAGTGAATTCGACTGAAAATCAAACCACCTTGCGTCTTCTCTACGAGAATATAATCTGTTTTAGTGTTACTATTTGCCTCTTTCGTGCGAGATCTTAAGGACCACAGTGTAGTAACAGGAGATCGAGCAGGGAATATTAGAGAAGGCCCAGGCATCTACAAATTTGTATCTGAACTAGTTGTTCAGGGAGTTTGCCCAGTTCCTACGCAACTGAAGAAGCTGGAGTCACTGCCTTATGGCTAAAGGGTACATATAGATTTTCCAGTGGGAAGACGTCGTTGGGCAGCAAGGCTCAGACTAAGCTGAGCTCGACGTGGGCCGGGGCTGGCCCGTTGGCTACCATGCTCTTTAGCTCCAATACTGTGAGTACAAGTGCCGACTGTATTGGTGGAAGGAGTTTCGACAACATCCAGAACTACTTATGCCTACCTATGCAGAGTCTACATGCTTTCTATTATTTTATCTTGAGATGATGACTAATTGGTGGAGTTCTCGAGATCTTTCTTTATAAACATTAGCGATGAAGAGAAATTGCATAATTGTATATTATTGTATATTAGATAATAACAATACAGATACATGATTGTTTGGATTTGAGTACCAGGATAACAGACATGTCTGTTTCAATCAATGTATACAGTTATAAATATATATATATATCTGGGTATTCTACTGTTGAAAACGTCATTATTATTGATATGATCAATTGATACACAATATATATATTGTGTGTACAACCGTGACACCAAGAGTCACAACTCTTGGTGTAAGGTCAATATAGTAGATAGTATTCTACACAAGAGACTAGTACAATATAATTCTCCCAATACTCCCACTTGTACACTAATCTTCATCCTCAAATTGGATTTCATCTATTGTGGAAGTTCATCCATTATGAGAAACATGTATGAGAAATATAGCGTTTCAATCTCCTTTTTGGGTGTTGCGTTGATGGAGAGCTCTCTCGTAGCTCTCCCACTGTTTCTTCAAATCTGAGAAGGTATGTGTTTTTTTTTGTTGATTTTGAATTATTGTTAGATTCTGTTTCATGATTGCTTTATGCACACTCCCTTTTTGTTGTGAAGTTGTTTTTGTTGTTGTTGTTGGAGGCGTTGTTGCTATTGAAGATTGCTGCCCTCGCGAAGATCCGCTCCGCTGCTTGCATATACATTGATGGGTGTCGGCTGTCGATGTGGGCGCCTTGATGGGCTTTGCGATGGAGTCAACCACCAATGCGGGATTGGCCATGGCGAGCTCCGTTGCTATAGTGGAGTCGACCACCGATGCAAGGTCGACCATAGCAGGCTCTGCTGCTGCAGTAGAATCGACCGCCAATGCGGGGTTGGCCATGGCGGGTTCTGCTGTTGTAGTAGAGTTGACCGTGGTGGGCTCTGCTGTTGTTGTCGCGGGCTTTGCTATTGCAATGGAGTCGCCAGCCATTGCGAGATCAATTGTGGTGGGCTCTGCTGTGGCTGTGGCGGGCTCCCATATCGGAGTAGCATCAAATCCATGAAATATCAATATGGATTTGGAGTGAGGTGGTTTACTATGTGTTCTCCCACTCCATGATGTATCAAAATATGGTTGTTGTAGAAAGGCTGGTGATTTTGAGTAGACTAGCAATGCTTGAATTGTTTAGAATAGGTTTCTTGTTTTGAATTGAGAGGAATAGGATACATGCCTAGTTGAGATAGGTACTGAAAAGGTTTCTCTTTAGGAAGAGATTTTATAAATACATCTGCTGTCATATGTGTGGTTGGCACATATTGTAATTTAATTTCCTTGGCAAGTATCTTTTCTCTTGTGAAATGGTATTGTGTGTCCACATGTTTGCTTCTAGAGTGATATTTTGGATTTTCACTAAGAGCAATTGCACTTTGATTGTATGAGTATATGATGGTTGGTGCATGTTGACGGAATCCAAGTTCATGTAATAATTTTCTCAACCATATGGCTTCAGTGGTTGCTTTTGTTAAAGCTATGTATTCTAATTTTGTGGATGACAAAGCAACAGATTGTTGTTTCTTGCTGCCTTAAGAGATAACTCTTCCAGCTAGTAAGAAGCAAAAGCCAGAGGTGGAGCAACGGGTGTCCTTATCATCTGTCCAGTGAGCATCAGAATAACCATGGAGAATATCATCTTGAGGTAAATATTGATATTTTATTCCAAAGGATAATATGCCTTTTATATAACTCATGATTCTGTTCAAAGTTTGAATATGTGTAGGTCCTGGTTTAGATAAATATTGTGTTAAACTGCTGATAGCATAAGCTAAATCGGATCTAGAATTAACAATGGCATGCATTAAACGGCCAACAACTGGAGAATAGGGGTAATCAGATAAAGAAATAGGAAATTCATTACTTAAACGAATTCTTGGCTGAATTAGGGTGCTTAATGGATTGGAATTCAAGATATTGAATTCATTAAGTTTATTTGTTAAGTATTTGGCTTGATGGAGGATGATCCATCTTTCTGTTTGATTTCTTAATATGACATTGCCTAAAGTATAATGGATTTCTCTTTCATCGGACATATTAAATTCTTGCTAGAGAATGTCTTTGACTTGTTGAATTAAAAGAAGCTTGTTGTTGATAAGAATATAATCATCAATATAGACTGTAATTATGGTAAAATCTTGATTATGTTCTCTTTTGATGTATATGTTTGCATCTGATTTGAGACGTTGGTATTTATGAAGGATTAAGTATTGATCTAATCATTGATATCATGCTCTAGATGATTGTTTAAGACCATATAGGGATTTATTTAATTTACATACCTTATTAGTATGTATAGAGGGTAATCCTTCAGGATTAGTCATATAGATGTCTTCTTCTATAAAACCATTTAAAAAAACTGTTTTAACATCTAGTTGATGTATTTCCAGATTATGTTGAGTGATTAAAGCAAGAAGAACTTTGATAGAATTAAGTTTGACTACATGAGAGTATGTCTCTATGTAATCAATACCTTCAACTTGGATGAAACCTCTAGCAACTAGCCTTGCTTTATATTTGTCAATGCTTCCATCAGCTTTAGTTTTGATTTTAAAAATCCACTTTGAATTGATTGGTTTTTGATTAGGAGGTAAATTTATCATGTGCCATGTATTGTTCTTGTTTAAAGATGTAATTTTAGCATTAATTGCTTGTTGCCATTCTTGTGCATCAACCCTCTCCATTGCTTCTTAAATATAGGTTGGAGCTTCTAGGTGAGTAGAAATAAGGTGGACTTGGTGATGTCAATTATATTGTCGTTTTTATTCTTTTCTATCTTGTATAGACTCCAACAATCTTGTGGTTGGTTGAATAATTCTTGTTGGTCTAGAACTAGTAGGAAGATTTGGAGCCTTTAATGTAGAATGTACTTCATCATCTGCAAGAGGTAAGATCTTGATCATTTTGTAATGATAGTTGACAGAAGTCTTCTATGACATTAATGTGAGAAGGAGGTTGTTTTCCCACATTTGAAGGAATACTATGTATTGGTGATTGATCAAATACATGTGTTTCTTGTGGTATTGACATTGATGTAAAAGACATGCCTTGAATAGAAGGGAGGATTTGCTCATTGGTCTTTTTAGTTATTGAAAGGTGTTTTAATAATTCTAAATCTAGTACAAGTTCTTCATTGTCCTTTTGTAAGTATGGAGTTGTTTGTAGATCATGTAGATTCTCATTGAAGAGAACATCTCTTGAAATAAGAATTTGCTGACTTTGTATATTCATAAGTCTATAGACTTTAGATTCTTCACTATAGCCTAGAAAGAGAGCCTCTTGTGAATGAGAGTCTAACTTCTTTCTTGTTTCTTTAGGAATGAATACATGAGCTTTGCAACCAAATATTTTAAGGTAGGATAAATTTGGTTGTCATTTGTACCATAATTCAAATGGTCTTTTGGTAACTTATACAAATTTTATAAGGCTCCTATTTTGGAGGTAATTTAATGTTTAGAGTGCTTCACCCCAAAAAGTTTTAGGTAAGTTTGAATAGGATAGGATTTTAAGTACTATACCTATTAATGTTCTTTTTTTTCTTTTAAAAACATCATTTTATTGTGGTATATAAGCTGCAATATATTCTTGTTTAATGCCTTCTTTATTACAAAAATCTTTAAAATTATTGGATGTATATTCACCTCCACAATCAAATCTTAAGGTTTTAATTTTGAAACTTATTTTTTTTCTATAAATTTTTTGTATAAGATGAATTTTTCAAATGCTTCAAATTTGTATTTCATAAAATATACTTGGCAATATCTTGTTAGATCATCAATAAATGTGATGAAGTAAGTACATCCTAAATGTATGCTTACTTGCATAGGTCCACAAATGTCAGAGTGTATAAGTTCTAACAATTAGGTAGCTTTTTGTGCACCTTGTGTAGGAAACTTTTCTTTATGTTGTTTATCTTCTATGCAAGGTTGGTATAAGGTAATTTTTCTTTCATCAAAGGAATCAATCCCCTTTGCCATGGTTTGTATTTGTTTGAGTCTTTGAGGATTTATGTGTCCTAATCTTAGGTGCCACAAATCAGCTTTATTTAATTGTGTTGTTGTTGGAATAGCAATTTGAGGCTTGTTTGAAAGTATAGTTGTACCTAATTCATATAAATCAAGATTTAATTTGCATATTGCAATGGTCTGACAAAATTTATTTATAGGTGTAGTGGTACTAGCTCTTATGCGAATTTCTCCTCCTGTCTTCTCTAATAATTTGACAGAGAATAAATCCTTTATAAGTCTAGATATATGTAATACATTAGGTATGATCTTCTCATCACCATTTATAAATTTGATATTTACATCACCATGTCCTTCTATTATATATAATGTAGTATCATCTCCTAAGTAGACAACTTGTTTGTCTTCATGTTTGATGTATTTAACAAATCCTTCTAACTCATGACACATATGTTGAGTTGCTTCCGAGTCCACATACCACATTGAATTTGGGATTTCTTTAACTATAAGTGCTGCCTTTTCACTTAAAATGCACTTTTCTAATATCTTTTTCAAATTTGTAGCAACTTCAATATTTGATTATAATTTATAAGCAAGAACCTTTATTTTTTCTTTTACAATCTTCCTCTCCTTTATAGAAATATTCTCTATTGTATCTTCATGCATAGGATTCTTCTATTGTTGTATTTTTTTCTCTCCTTGTGATTCTTTTTGATGGCCGTTCATGATTTTCATCTCTACTTTATTTTTCTTCTATTAATGCTTCATGTTGAATCCTTACAATATGAACATGAACTTATAATCTATCTACTAGATTATTCCACCTAGTAATTTGTAAAATATTATTGCCAATATTTTTTAAATCATCTCTAGTAAATTTTTCTTTTTCAGCATAATTCATTGTACTTGACCACAAAGAACTAGATTCCCATCAATATTCAAGATTTATACTTAAATATTTGCTTGGATTTGCCCCCATCCAAAATATTGATGCTTTATTGCTTAAAATTGTATGCACTTTAAAAGCATCTTCCACAAATACCTTCATTCTTCTTTTACCAAAATTTTTTTCTAATTTTTCTCGACTTTCTTTTAAGTGTATTATACCATCTTTAAAAAAAACAACTCCTTTACATAGTACCTCTGTAAAATCTTCACATTCTCTTCTTGAATTATTTGTGCTATCACATTATATGCACCTATGCACTACACCTTCAATTGGTCCCGATTTTTGTCTTGTTGATATTCTTGATGTTTGATCCTTCTTCTCAAATTTTGCAAGTTTAATTTATAAATCTCTCATCTCACGTATGATTTCGTCCATGTTTATTTTTTCTTTCTTTGATATAGACATTGAGGGTTGAGTCATAGATGTAAGATGAGTAGAAGGTATTTTTGTCTTAGATGCTCGCAATGGTTTTAAAATACCCACCTTGTTCTTTTTCCTTTTTCTTTTTGTAAGTAATCCTATTGCCTCTTCCACTTTCTTCTAATTTTTTGTCAATTCTTCTTTTTCTTTTTCTTTATCTTCAAGCAAAATTTCCAACTTCTCTTGTAACTTTCTATCAGTTGCTTGAAGAAATAACTCCACTTTGTTTGGATCTAATAATTATCTTTTCTTTTTTGATAAACAAGAATATTATTTTTCAAACTTCCTCAATAATTTTGTTGCTTGGAGATCCTTCTTAGGTCTTTTAATTCACTCAAAAAATAGCTTCTTTGTAATCTTGTCACTATCTTCTAAAAAATACTCATCTTTTAATTCTTGAAATAAATTTTTTCATGAACCTCCAGATTGTCATATAATGGATTTTACATGACTTTCTATTTTTGGTTTAGTAGTGAATTCAAATAATTGAACCATCTCCCTTTCTTAAACATACTTCAATTCCATTTCTTTTATATAACACTTTAGATATTTTGTAATATCCTTTCCTTCATATTGATCGAACTTATCTACAATCGCTTGTAATGCTTTGTTTGCCATGCCCTCTTTGTAATCTTTAATCTGTTGCTGCTGCATAAATAAGGCAAAAGCCTCAAACATGCTTATAGAGTTGGAATCAAAATATATACCTTGTCCTCTATTAGTTTCACCACTTGTAGCTCCAATTGATGAACCACCCACAGCTCCTCTTTCAACACTCTTGCTTTCTTTTTCCATAATTCAAATAATCCAAGATAACCAAATATCTTCCAACTCAAGCCTTTCACATCTGATTCACCAAAATGTCATATTACGTGAAGCTTGACTTGAGAATGCATCAAGCACTTGAGTGTAGAAGATAAAAAAAAATTGCAATAAGTCCTAATAACTTTAATAGATTCTTAAATAAATTATAA